CATAGATTTGTTTTGGCATTTTGGCCGTCCTTCCTCAGCACACTTTCTCCAGTTCTTTAATGTTTAACTTATGCATTCATCAGAATTATAATAAAGCGTTGGTGGAAAAACTGGTTGCGCCGGCTGCTGATGGGAACCTGGCATGCCACCATTTGACTCAAAGGGAACCTAACTCTCAAGGAGCCATAATCTCAGCACTTTGGGAGGCCCAGGTGGAGGATTGCTTGTGCCCAGGTATGCGAGACCAGCCTGGGCAACATAGGGAGACCCCATCTCTATACATTAAAAAAAAGTTAGTCAGGCATGGTGGCATGTGCCTGTTGCCTCAGCTACTCTGGAGGTTAAGGCTGGAGGATCGCTTAAGCCTGGGAGTTGGAGGCTGCCGTGAGCTGTGATTGTACCACAGCACTCCAGCCTTGGCAACAGAGCGAAACCCTGTCTCCAAAAACAAAATAAAACAAAAAACAAAAACAAAGAGCCATACAAGAAAGTTTTAAATAATGTATTTTTAAAAGCCCCAGTGGGGTTTTCTGCAGAAATCCTGGGTGCTTATAAGCCAACCAGAACCGCTACCTTTAAAGCATGTCTGTTCATGTCATAGGTCTTACAGGTGTGGAGGAAAGTTGAGGTTTTTAAATTTAAAAAAAATAAAAAAGATGAGCAGTTCTGAATCTTCTTTTTTTTTTCTTTTGAGCATGTTCTCTGGGTGGGGAATGTGCTATGGTTTGTGAAAACAAAGAAGAAAACATGTGGTTCTTCTGTTCCAGGTTCTCACCACGGCCTGGGGGAGTGTGATTTATTCTTTTTGAATGGATAGCATGAAGGTGCTATTTGCCCAAGTAGTGGGATGGGGTGACCCTGGAGGCCAAGGACAGAGGGTGAGGTATTCAGCCTGGAGATGACCTTTAACCTCAAGGCTTTCTTCCTTTTAAAACGTTTGCTGTTTTGTTTTTGTTTTTGTTTTTGTGTTTTTTTGAGACGGAGTCTTGCTCTTGTCGCCCAGGCTGAAGTGGCGCAATCTCGGCTCACTGCAACCTCTGCCTCCCAGTTCAAGCAATCCTCCTGCCTCTGCCTCCCAAGTAACTGGGACTACAGGTGTGCACCACCACACCCAGCTAATTTTTGTATTTTTTATAGAGACGGGGTTTCACCATGTTGGCCAGGCTGGTCTTGAACTCCTGGCCTCAAGTGATCCACCCGCGTTGGCCTCCCAAAGTGCTGGGATTACAGGTGTGAGCCACTGTGCCCAGCCAAACGTTTGCTTTTTTAACAATAATTTTTTTTTTTTTTTTGAGATGGAGTCTTGCTGTGTTGCCCAGGCTGGAGTGCCATCTCAGCTTACTGCAACCTCTACCTCCCAGGTTCAAGCAGTTCTCCTACTTCAGCCTCTTGAGTAGCTGGGATTACAGGTGCCCACCACCATGCTTGGCTAACTTTTGTATTTTTCGTAGAGACGGGGTTTCACCATGTTGGCCACTGTGGAACTCCTGGTCTGAAGTGATCCGCTCACCTTGGTCTCCCAAAATGCTGGGATTACAGGCATGAGCCACTCACTGCACCCGGCCAATTGTATATTTCAAAATAACTAGAGGAGTATATTTAGAAATGTTCCCAACACAAATAAATGATAAATATTTGAGGTAATGGATAGCCCAGTTACCCAGATTTGATGACTACACATTGTATGCTTGTATCAAAAATATCACACCAACCCCATAGATATGTGCAACTGTGATGTATCCATAAAAGTTAAAAGTTTTAAAAATTGCCTGGCACAGTGGCTCAAACCTGTAATCCTAGCACTTTAGGAGGCCAAGTGGGAGGACTGCTTGAAGTCAGGAGTTTGAGACCAGCCTGGGCAATATAGTGAGACCCCATCTCTACAAAGAATACAAAAATTAGCTGGGTGTGTTGGTGTGTGTTTGTGGTCCCAAGGGAGCCTGGGAGGCTGAGGTGGGAGGATTGCTTGAGCCCAGGAATTCTAGACCAGCCTGGGCAACATAGCAAGACCCAGTCTCTACACAAATTTTAGAAAATTAGCAAGACCCTGTCTCAAAACAAAACAAAAGAAACAAACAAAAAACCCTCAGAACTAACTGTTCAGATTTTTTAAAAAGTGACTGTATGATTACATTAGGCCCACCCAAATAATTCAGAATCATCTCCCCATATTAAGACACTTAATTTCATGAAATCTGTGAAGTCTGTTTTGCCATGCAATGTGATATGGTTTGGCTGTGTCCCCATCCAAATCTCATCTTGAATTCCTACATGTTGTAGGAGGGACCCGGTGGGAGGTAATTGAATCATGGGGGCAGGTCTTTCTCATGCGATTTTCGTGATAGTGAATAAGAGTTTCCCTGCGCAAGCTCTTTTCTCTTTGCCTGCCACCATCCTTGTAAGACATGACTTGCTCCCACTTGCCTTCCACCATGATTGAGGCTTCCCCAGCCATGTGAAACTGTAAGTCCATTCAACTTCTTTCTTTTGTATATTTCCCAGGCTTGGGTATGTCTTTATCAGCAGTGTGAAAATAGACTAATATACAAGGTGACATTATACAAGGTGGTTAAGGGTTGAATGGTGTTTCCTCCCCCACAATTCATAGGTGGAAGATCTATCCCCTCTCCCCCATCTGTGAATGTGACCTTATTTGGAAGTGCAATGTTTACAGATGTCATTAGTTTCGATGAGGTCATCCTGCAGGAAGATAGGCTGTAATCCCATGATTGGTGTCTTTATGAAAAGAGGAAGTTTGAACACAGACACACACAGAGGAGAACACCATGAAACCATGGGGCAGAGACTGGAGTGATGCTGCCAAAAACCCAGGGATGCCTGGAGTCGCCAGGGTCTGGAAGAGGCAGGAAGGATCCTCCCCTATAGCCTCCCATGGGAGCGCAGCCCTGAGACACCTTGATCTCAGCCTCCTGGACTCCAGGACTGGGTAAAGATAAGTATCTGTTGTTTAAGCCCCTGGTTTGTGGTAACTTGTTGTAGCAGCCACAGAAAACTAATTCACACATACTCATAGGCTCCAGGGATTCTGATGTCTGTATCTTGAACAGCATGAGGGGTCATTATTAAGCCATTGGCAGGGCTTTGGTTCTGATTGTGGCCATGGATTGCCTTTGGTCTGTTGGACACGTCCTCTTCTCTGGAACGGCCATACCAACTTCATGTGATTAGATTAGGATGGGATTCTAAGGTGGATATCCCATTCCAACCATGGGTGGACATTTAATCCAGGAATGGCCAAGTCCTTCCGCCATAATGATTGGTACCAAGATGGGTGATATTGTTTGGCTGTGTCCCCACCCAAATCTCATCTTGAATTGTAGTTCCATAATGTCCTAAACATTACAAACTGTAAATATTAGCTAACATGGCAAAAGGGACTTTGCGGCTATAATGAGTTAAGAATCCTGAGATGTTGGGAGGCCAAGGAAGGCAGATCATGAGGTCAGGAGATTGAGACCATTCTGGCTAACATGGTGAAACCCCATCTCTACTAAAAAAAAAAAAAATACAAAAAAGTTAGCCGGGCATGGTGGCGGGCACCTGTAGTCCCAGCTACTCGGGAGGCTGAGGCAGGAGAATGGCATGAACCCAGGAGGCGGCGCTTGCAGTGAGCTGATATCGCACCACTGCACTCCAGCCTGGGCAACAGAGCTAGACTCCGTCTCAAAAAAAAAAAAAAAAAAAATCCTGAGATGAGGAGATGATCCTGGATTATCCTGGTGGGTTCTAAATAATCACAAGAGTCCTTATAAGAGGGAAGTAGGAGTGTCAAAGTCAGAGAAGGAGATGTGAAGAGGGAAGCAGAGGTCAGAGAAAGAGACTGGAGGATACTATGCTGCTGGCTTTGAAGATGGAAGAAGAAGCCATGAGCCAAGGAATACCACAGCCTCTAGGAGAGGGAAATGCAAGGAAATGGATTTTCTTTTGGAACCTCCAGAAGGAACCAGCCTGCTGACACTTTGATTTTTCGACTTCTGATTACCACAACTATAAGAAAAATTGTGTTATTTTAAGCAATTAAGTTTGTGATATATTTTGTTACAGCAGCAATAGCAAACTCACACACTCCTCTAATGGTCTTTTAACCTCAGGTTCTGTCTCTCTCTCTCTCTTTTTCTTTGCCTCCTCTTTCCCATCTCCTTCTTCTTTTTCTCTCATTCTCTTTCACCCCATCTGTTCTCTCCAGAGGGGCAGATGAACTTTTTCTTTACATGGGGGCTCCTGACTCCATAAAGAAGTCAGAAGCTGCCAGGTCTCCTAAGTCTAGGGCAGGAAGGATAGTATCAGCATCACTTCTGCTGCATTCTGTTGGTCAAAGCAAATCAGAGGCTCATTCCAGATCCAAGGGGAGGAAAAAGGCTCCAACTTGTAGCTGGGCTCATGTGGAAGGTAACGGGAGGACTTGGCAGCTGTTTTAAGACATGTACCACATCTAGATTTCAACCTACAGAAAAGTCCAAAGATACACCAACAGCAGCCCAAGTTAGTCAATAGAAGCTGGCTCAAGGCTGCCCCCTTTAGGTGGAGACTAACCAGCTCCCTGACATCCTTCAGTTAACTGCACCTTCCTCCTTTTTGCTGCCTGGGATGTCTACATGCTGCCTGGAGCTGTGGCAGCCATCTTGTGACCATGAGGCAAATCCTATGTGCAAGAGCAGGAAGCTGGAAAGAACCTGCCATCCCTGGATTGCTTCGTCTGTGACTCCCATTACCTGGGAGAGAACACATCTTTCTCTTGTTTAAGGCGTTCTTATTCCCAGTCTCCCTTTCTCCCCCGTATAACCCTAAAAGTACAGGAGTACACTTGTGACTGTAACTTAAGTTTTTCAGAATGGGGGAGTTTAGATTATTTAGTCCTCTCTCCATGAATCACTAGTGAATAGCAATGCCAGGTGAGTTCCTTCAAAGCTAGGGGGTGAAGGGGTGGAGGTGGAAAAGTAGGGTTACAGATGGGAAATAAAAACAAACAAATGACACCATCCAGGGAGATTTGTCATATTTTATTCAGTAGTTCTGCTGCACTGCCAGCCTAGGGATGCACTTGATTCCCAAGAAACGCAAGTGTCCTATTCGCAGAGTCATCTGTAGGTACCTGCCCCCTGGACTGCAGCAACTTTATTACCTTAACTAGCACGGAACAGAGGTTGATTTAAACTCCTTACATTCACTTCTCAGATCAATGAATGGACAAAGAAACACCTCATGGCTCTGGGAAGGCATGTTGAGACCCGTTTTTGCAAGTCCTAAGGAATGGAAGAATATAGCTGCCAGGTATCCCAAGTCTAGGGCAGGAAGGGTAGTATCGGCATCACTTACACTGCATTCTGTTGGTCAACACAAGTCAGAGGCTCAGCCCAGATCCAAGGGCAGGGAAGAGGCTCCATCCTGTAGTTGGGCTCACTTGGAAGGTAATGGGAGGAGTTGGTGACTGCTTTAAGACACATACTGTATCTAGATTTCAACCTACAGAAAAGTCCAAAGATGCACTCACAGGAGCCCATTAGTCAACTGAAGCTGGCTCATGGCTGCCTTCTTCAGGTGGAGACTAACCAACTCCCTGACGTCCTTCAGTTAACTGCTCCTTCCTTTTTCCTGCTGTCTGGAATGTCTGCGTGCCATCTGGAGCTATGGCAGCCTTCTTGCGACCATGAGGCAAACTCTACGTGCAAGAGCAGGTAGCCAAAAAGAACCTGCCAGCCCTGGGCTTATATCCTGCTTCCCAGGGAGCTTGAAGATAGCAAAACCCACAGCCATTTTCATCAAATGCCAGGAAATTCTTTGGCTGGGATCGTTTGAATGGTTGAGTGTGAAAGGCTTGTTATAATGGGCTTGTTGAATACAGTGAAAGATGAGATGGCTTTTAGCTGCCTCCAACCCCCCGTGTCCCATGCTCCATAGATGTTTCTTTTTTCTTTTTTTTTTTTTTTTTATCATTTTTTGGTTATTCCAGGTATCTCCTGTGTGTCCCTCCAGATCCCTCTCCAGCCTTAGAAACCCGAACTCTATAAATGTTGCCTCTCTCCACTCATCTTCTCTTTGGCTTCAGGTTGAGTTCAGCCAACAGATGCCCCTGTAGGATTTGGACACAGCGAGCCAGGGGAGAGGGGCATCAGCTGCCTGGTTAGCAGGGCTGTGATGATTCTTCTACCCGTGACCCTCACTGCTGTGGGCAGCCTGTTGCCTCTTCCTCTGGATTTTGAAAGCTTCCATGCCGAGGTCTGAAGGTGGCTCCCTGCCTCCCACTGATGTCCCTAGAATCCTATCCTCACCTAATACCTGGGATTGAACACTGCCTTTCTTAGATGTCATTTAGTCTCTCATTTTAATTCCCAGTATGCTTCCTGCAAAGACCTTGATAGATGGACTCAGGGGAATAGTGCAAGGTCCTCCCATCCCCAATATTGGGATCCGGGGGTAGGGGTCCCAGGTTAGGACTACGCTTCTATCATCAAAGCCACAGAGGGAAGAGGTGACGATGAAACACACTAGAACTGACTTAGAAAACACACTGGTCAAATCTTAGCTATTCGAGGAATGTAGGAAGAAGAGCTTCCTTCTCTCTGTAGGTCTGAAGGTTCCCACGGCTGTCTCTTTGCCCAAGGAGCAAACTTTCCATCTGGGCATCTTCTGTGCATCTGAGGATCATTTGCCAATTATAGGCAATGGTAGTACATGTTTCAGTGCAGAATGAGATAGAGTCGTTTGACAATAAAGCGATGCATCAAAAACCTCAGTCAACTCAGTGTTTTCTTGTTTTCCTGCTGACTAACCTAATTCTGGTTTCATACAGGGCAGCCAGGTGCCCACCTAAAAGACTGCACTTCTCAACTTCCAGTTGTTTCTATGGATAATGGTTGGAAGCAGAAATTGGGTTGGGGCTTCCAGATAATCCCCCCTCACAGGGACTGCTTCAAGAGGAAGGGATGCCCTTTGGTTCTTTCTCCTTCCTGCTGCCTGGAATGTGATGTCTGGCACTGTGGCAGCCATGCTGACACAATGAGGCTAACTCTCTGCCAAGCTACGAGTGGCAGAGCTGGGAGTTGAAAAGAGCCTGCTAGCCTTGGGTGCTTCCCCTTGACCAGCTCACTACTTGGAAGAGAACACACCCTTTTCTTGTTCTTTTCTTTAAGGCTTTGTTTTTTTGTTTTTAAGGCAGGGTCTTCCTCTGTCCCCCAGCCTGGAGTGCAGTAGTGTAATCATAGCTCACTGCAGTTTCAACCTCCCAGGCTCAAATAATCCTCCCACCTCAGTCTCCTAAGTAGCTGAGACTATAGCTATGCGCCATGACATCTAGCTAGTTATTTAATTGTTTTTTTGTAGAGATGAGGTCTCACTGTGTTGCTCAGGCTGGGTAGGTGTTTCACTCCTAGGCTCAAGTGATCCTCCTACCGTGGCCTCCCAAAGTGCTGGGATTACAGGTGTGAGTCACCATGCCTGGCTTTGTTTAATGCATTCTTTTTTCCCAGCATCTGTTACCAGCAGCCTGAAGCCATTTCTATAACAATATCAGGAAGACACATGGACAGAGATCCTCATGTATGAAAAATGCATCAACCCTTTGAGATCAACGAGCCCTCAAAAACAGAGACTGAGAGCTTTAACTTTCCTCCACTATGTGAGAGTAGGAACAGACACTCTTCCCTGTCCGTTTGTAAGGCTGTTATGTCATCTAGGTGATGAAATGGCAATAATGCTTTAAGACAGAGGGGTGAAAACATTGGGCATTGGCACAGTGACAAACCCTGAGACTTAGTAGAGGAAGAGGAGGCATCAGTGGGTGCCTACTGGGATAGTGTTATTTCAGAAATCAGAAAATGGAAACCCTAGATGGGCACAGTGGCTCACGCCTGTCATCCCAGCACCTTGGGAGGCTGAGGCAGGTGGATGATTTGAGGTCAGGAGTGTGAGACCAGCCTGGGCAACATGGTGAAACCCTGTCTCTACTAAAACTACAAAAATTAGCTAGGCATGGTGGCAGGTGCCTGGTGCCTGTAATCCCGGGTACTCAGGAGGCTGCGGCAGGAAAATCGCTTGAAACCAACAGGCAGAGGTTGTAGTGAGCAGAGATCATGCCATCGCACTCCAGCCTGGGGGACAGAGCGACACTCCGTCTCAAAAAAAAAAAAAAAAGAAAATGGGGACCCACTCTCAGTCCAGGGCATGTTCCTTGCAAAAAGGGAAGCCGAAGATTGAACCAAGCTTGGAGAAATTTGTCTGCAACGCAGTCAGCCTCTCCTGGATCCTCTTTCACAGTCCCGACATTCGGGGGGTGCCATCCCCATCCTCGTGGCATGAGCAAAACGGGAAATGTCCGCAGCACGGCTGCAGCCACGGTTTCCACAGGATGTTGCTCGTGGAAAACTGCTGGGGCACAGGACTCAGGGTGTGCCGATGCTCCGACACCGCCGCACCCACCCTTGCTATCACGGCGTGGTACAGGGGCTCGGAGTCGGGGGTCAGGGGCCGCGCCTCGGAGGGGTCCCTGGAGAGGTCAAAGAGCAAAGGGGGTCTGTGATGGGTCACGCCCTCCCCGGAGCATGGACAGACGCCTCGGCCATAGCAGGCCCCGGCTCCCTCAGGGTGGAACTGCGGGGTGGTGTAATGAACCTTCCAGACGCTTCCACCTGGATGCAGACAAGAAGGGAGTCAGGGTGGCAGAAATCCATGCAGGTGTGAACACAGGACGCAGGTGTCAGCCCTGTGGAATCAGCATGAACCTCCCTGTTCAATGAAAAGGAGGGGGAACACGAGGCAGTTCACACAATCACAGCCTTCAGCTTGTCAAGTCAGAGCGTGTGTGTGTGCGCGCGCCCATGTGTGTGTCCGTTTGTGTCTCTACATCGCATGCCCCAGGCAAAGGGACTCATTGCAGAACGCTCACTGTGGCTGCTTTCAGAAATAAGAATCATAGTTTCCTTAATTCTTACCCTTTCCCCTGTGTTGAAACTGTTCAGCGTCGATCTACTACCTTTCCACACAGAAACACCCATGATATTTTAAACAGCATGACTGGGTACTTATCTATCTATTGCTACCTATTTATCAATCCATCCATTTATCTTACCTATCGATCTTATCTATCATTATTTATCAATCATCTATCTACCTACCTATCATCTATCTCTGTTTATCTATCTCCTATCTATCATCCGTCTACCATCTACCTATCTACCTACATATCTATCATCTACCTACCTATCTACCATCTGTCATCTATTTATCTATCAACTTATCTATCACCTATCATCTATCTATTATCTATCTCTCCATCCATCTTTCTTTTTTCTAACAGCCCACCAGATATCTCTATCTACCTTTCATCCATCTATCCATCCATCTATTCATCCACCCATGAACTGATTCTACTTTTTATCTATCATCTATCTGTTTATCTATCATCTATCTTATCTATCCATCGTCTATCTTATCTATCACCTATCTACCATCTATCTCATCTATCCATCCATCATGTATCTTATCTATCATCTATCTTATCTATCTCTATCTCTATCCATCTATCATGTATCTTACCTATCTATCCATCCATCATCTATCTTATCTATCCATCATCTGTCTCATCTATCTATCCATCATCTATCTATCCATTATCTATCATCTATTTATTCATCCATCATCTGTCTTATCTATCCATTATCTATCTTATCTATCTATCCATCATCCATCTCGTCTATTTATCCATCATCTATCCATTATGTATCTATCATCTCTCTCTCTCTCTCTGCCCTCCTCTCATCTATCTATAATCTACTCATTGGTTTATTTATCTCTATTTCTATAGGTATCTGCCCATCCATCCATCCATCCATCCATCCATCCATCCATCCATCCACACATCCACACGACCTATTGGCTGTTTCTCTGGACCTCCCTGGCTGTGGGCAGCGTGTACTCACTGTCCCTCTGGTGCCAGCGTGCTGCGTGGAGATGCTGCCCACAGTAATGAAACAGGAACTCATGTGCCGAGCGCGCCTCAGCTCCCTGCAGCAAGGGCACCAGGCTGTGGCCGTCGATCACCCTGATTTCATGAAGAGACCACAGAGCAGAGTCAGACCACGGGTTCCTAGGCAGCCTTTTGCACCTGGGAACACATCTCCCAGAATGCAAGGCTCCCCAGCAAATGGAGCAGAGATGAGCGCTCTCTCCAGTCGCTGTTCGGATCGCAGGTTGCTGAGCAGGACACATGTGGTTATTTCAAGACACAGTGTCTCTAAGTGTAGGGGTCATTTGTTATGCGGCACTGCATAAGCAAAGTGCACATGCACACACACCCTACACACACCCTATCTACACACACACACCCCTACACACACACACACACCCCTACACACACACACCCCTACACACACACCTACACATACACACACACCCCTACACACACACACCTACACACACACACTACACACACCTACACACACACCCCTACACACCCCTACACACACACACCTACACACACACACCCCTACACACACACACCCCTACACACACACCTACACACACACACACCCCTACACACCCCTACACACACACACCTACACACACACACACCCCTACACACACACACCCCTACACACACCCACACACACCCCTACACACACACACCTACACACACACACACCCCTACACACACCCCTACACACACACACCTACACACACACCCCTACACACACACACACCCCTACACACCCCTACACACACACACCTACACACACACACCCCTACACACACCCCTACACACACACACACACACACACACACCCCTACACACACCCCTACAATCACACACACACCTACACACACCCTACACACACCCTACACACACACCCCTACACACCCTACACACACACCTACACACACACCCCTACACACACACCCTACACACACACCTACACACACACACCTACACACACCCTACACACACCCTACAATCACACACACACCTCACACACCCCTACACACACCCTACACACACACACACCCCTACACACCCCTACACACACACCTACACACACCCCTACACACACCCCTACACACACCCCTACACACACACACACACCCCTACACACACCCCTACACACACACACCTACACACACACCACCCCTACACACACCCTACACACACCCCTACACACACACCTACACACACCTACACCCACACACACCCCTACACACACCCCTACACACACACACCCACGTACACCCCTACACACACACCTACCCACACCCTACACACACACACCTACACACACACCTACACACCCCTACCACACCTCCTACCTCTACACACACCCCTACACACCCCTACACATACACCTACACACACACACACCTACACACACACCCCTACACACACCTACACACACACCTACACACCCCTACACACACCCTACACACACATACACACCCTACACACACACACCCTACACACCCCTACACACACCTACACACACCCCACACACACACACACCCCCTACACACACACACACACACCCCACACAGCACTGTCACCTTGGATGTAACACAAAGCCTTCAAATTCAGCTGGACAGCCCACATTCCTAAGTTGACTTTGTTACTTTTTATGAGGCAGTCTTGCTCCGTTGCCCAGGCTGCAGTACAGTGGCACAATCTCAGCTCATTGCAACCTCTGCCTCCTGGTCAAGCGATTCTCATGCCTCAGCCTCCTGAGTAGCTGGGACTACAGGCACAAGCTACCACACTCGGCTAATTTTTGTATTTTTTGTAGAGATGGGGTTTCACCACGTTGGCCAGGCTGGTCGAGGCTCCTGACCTAAGGTGATCCGCCCATCTAACCTCCCAAAGTGCTAGGATTATCAGCATGAGCCATTGCACCCGACCTGTTCTTACTTTTTAATCATAACAGACCCTAAGACACATGGTCACATGGGTAAAGAGACAGTGGTGCGCCTGTAATCCCAGCTACTTGGGAGACTGAGACAGGAGAATCACTTGAATCTGGGAGGCGGAGGCTGCAGTGAGCCGAGATCGTGCCATTGCACTCCAGCCTGGGCAAGAGGAGTGTAGAGACTATCTGAAAAAAAAGCTTATTTATGTAACCAAACACCACCTGTTCCCAAAATCCTAATGACATAAAAAAAAAAAATAAAAACTAAAATCAGGGAACAGGTGGCCTTATCTCCACGTGCCTGTCCTGGGGCCACCTCGCCACCCATAAGCTGAACCACAGTAGGAACAATCCATCAGGCTCGTGGGCTCTCCAATCACTCGGCCGGCTGAGGGCCTTATCTCCACGTACCTGTCCTGGGGCACCTCGCCACCCGCCAGCTGAACCACAGTAGGGAACACGTCCATCAGGCTCGTGGGCTCTCCAATCACTCGGCCGGCTGGGAGCACCCCGGGCCAGTGGAAGATCCCGGGCACGCGGATCCCACCTTCCCATCCTCCCATGCCCTTCCCACCTGTAAATAAAAGACATCATTAGGATTTTGCCAGAAACTGCCCAGTCTGTACACACACCTGGCTGTACCTGTGCGTAGGTATGTGAATATGCACAGCCACCCGCACGCACACACGCACACTGCGGCAGGCAGCCCCAGCCTCCCAAACACAGCCACAGCAATATTTCCAGAATCGTGTTACTCCCCGGCCTCTTGAATATCAGTGGGTCGCTGTGGCTGATTCAGCTGTTCTAGTCACTCTATGCTACCTTTATTTAGAATAAAAGAATGTATTAAAATATTCATTAAATTTAATGATTTAAAAATATTTGTTAACTATCAATAATTTTAAAAATATGTATTAATATTATGCATCAATATTAATTGATGTATTTAAAATACTAAAGTTAAAATAGTAATAAATTTATAAATATTTAAAAATTAAGAATATAATAAATAAATTTTAATTTTATCAGAATTATTTATTTATACCTCTCTCTATTCTACTAAAGTGTAAACCCTTTAAAGGAAGGGGATGTGACTTTTTATCTGCCTGCCCTGCTCATCTAGGTAGAACTTGTACTACAGTAGGTGCTCAATGCATTCTTTTTGAAATGAGCAAACTCATTCTCAGTTCAACTTGTTCTTGGACCCTCAGTGGTGGGAGCTATTTGGTTGAATGCATATGTGTCCCCGATGTCCACAACTCACCTTTGTAAATTCCGTTCCATCCCCCTAACTGGCTGTGTCCATCTCTTGCCTCTAAATGCCCTCCATGGTCAGAGGTGAAATACGTGAATGTTGAGTTCTTTAAACCATTGTCTTCGATGGCATTAAGAATCTTACCTTTACAGAAAATGGAAAGTTTCAGGACCAAGAAAACAAAGCAGCATCTGCTAGTTCAATGCACTTCTTCCTTTCTGCATGAGACACCTCTTGCCAGGAAGTCATAAGAAGAGACCACAGTTACTTGAGGCCATGGTTACGATGTGATCCGAAAGTGTAAGACACAGCTAATCATTGTGTTCACAGGACTGTTTACAATGCAAACCAATAATAAAAGTCTAAGCCCCCCAACGACTGATGGACTCTCCCTTCAGACAAGGCTATTCTAAAGTTAACCTGAAAAACTAGGTCAGGCCAGGCATGGTGGCTCACGCCTGTAATCCCAACAAACACTTTGGGAGCCTGAGGTGAGTGGATCACCTGAGGCCAGGAGTTCAAGACCAGCTTGGCCACTATGGTGAAACCTCATCTCTACCAAAAACATAAAAATTAGGTAGGTGTGGGGGTGCACGCCTGTAATCCTAGCTACTTGGGAGGCTGAGGCAGGAGAATTGCTTGAACCCACGAGGCAGAGGTTGCAGTGAGGTGAGATTGCACCACTGCACTCCAGCCTGGGCAACAGAGTGAGACTGCCTCAAAAAAACAAAACAAAACAAAACAAAACAAAAGAGTGCTGGGCATGGTGGCTCACGCCTGTAATCCCAGCACTTTGGGAGGCCGGGGCGGGCAGATCACAAGGTCAGGAGATCGAGACCATCCTGGCTAACACTGTGAAACCCCATCTCTACTAAAAACACAAAAAAATTAGTCAGGCATGGTGGTGGGCAACTGTAGTCCCAGCTACTTGGGAGGCTGAGGCAGGAGAATGGTGTGAACCCGGGAGGCAGAGCTTGCAGTGAGCCAAGATCGCATCACTGCACTCCAGCCTGGGTGACAGAGCGAGACTCCATCTCAAAAAAACAAAACAAAACGAAACAAAAAACAAAAACTAGGTCAGGCCATGATGGAAAGTGGTGGGGGTGGGGGCGGGGGGTGGACATGCGTCATGGTACCCTCTTCCCTTTGGAATTCAGGCACAACTGACCAGCATTCACATTAAAACAGACTTTATGACCGGGAGAAGGCCAGGCACGATGGCTCCTGCCTGTCATCCCAGCACTTTGGGAGGCTGAGGCAGGAAGATTGAGCTCAGGAGTTCAAGACCAGCCTGGTCAACATGGTGAAACCCTGTCTCTACAAAAAATACAAAAATTAGCCAGGTGTGGCGGCACGTGCTTGTGTGTAGTCCCAGCTACTCGGGAGGCTGAAGTGGGAGGACTGCCTGAGCCTGGGAGATCAAGGCTGCAGTGAGTCAAGATTGCACCACTGCACTCCAGCCTGGGCAACAGAGTGAGACCCTGTTTGAAAAAAAAAAAAAAGACTGATAGAACAGACTCTTTAAGTGTGATAAGAAACATTTTCCATGGATTCTCTCTGAAGCCTGCTACCTGGCCTCCACAACCCCTTATCACAACCCAGACATTCCCTTCTATTGATTCTCAGATAATAACTTTTTCAACCACCTGCCAATCAGAAAATCTGTAAATCCAGCTTTGACCAGGAAGTCCCCCCTTTCAGTGGTCTTGCCTTTCTGGACTGAACCAAGGTACGTCTTACACATATTGATTGATGCCGTATTTCTCCCTAAATGTATAAAGCTGAGCTGCACCCTGACCCCCTTGGGTACATGTTCTCAGGACCTCCTGAGGACTGTGTCACGGGGTCACTGGTCACTCATATTTGGCTCAGAATAAATCTCTCCAAATATTTTACAGCATTTGACTCTTTTGGTCAACTCCAAGATACCACCAATACAAAACACAGAATGAACAGACACCACCAAGAGGTTGCCGATGGGCATGCTTTTTTAAACATCGTGCCGTGTGTGTGTGTCACATAATAAAGATGTTGGGGAGAGGGAAATGGTGAGACTCAGTGATGACAGAACCCCGTCTATGTAGGAGGAAGCAGGGCTGTCACTAGCATCTATGGGCATCGGCATCTTGGAGGTTGATGGCTCAGCAGTGCAAAGGATGCCCTGCAAACCAAGCAATTGCTCTATCCCTGGAGGCCACTGGTCACTGAAAGTCAAAATGATATAAACCGCATGGTCATCTGTAGCTCTGAAAATGCAGACTTTGAAGACTGCTGTAAACTGAAAAGTATCTGAGGCAGCTCTCAATCGATTTAGAAAGTTTATTTTGCCAAGGTTAAGAATGCACCCAAGACACAGCCTCAGGAGGCCCTGATGACATGTGCCCACTGTGGTTGGGGCAAAGCTTGGTTTTGTATACTTTAGGGAGACATGAGACATCCATCACTATATGTAAGATGTACATTGGTTTGAGCTGGAAAGGTGGAACAACTGGAAGTGGGGAATTTAAACATATTCCGATTGGTAATTGATTGAAAGAGTTATCAGCAGAAAGGAATGTCTGGGTTATGATAAGTTGTGGAGACCAAGGTTTTATTACGCAGATGAAGCCTCCAGGTAGCAGGCTTCAGAGAGAATAGACTGTAAATGGATCTTATCAGAGTTAAGGTCTGTGTGGATGTTCATGTTGGAGGGGTAGAATGAGGCAAGCCCAACCCCCTCTTCCCATCATGGCATGATCCAGTCTCTCGGGTTAAATTTTAGGGTACCCTGGCAAAGGAGGGAATCCATTCAGATGGTTGTGGGGGGCCTTTGAATTTATTTTTGGCTTACACTGTGAACCAATCCCGCCCTATCACTGTGCTTGTCTCAGGAGATACGTTCAGATTCTGCAAGGATTTTAACATCTACACTCTCTTAAGAATCTGCAGCCTCGTCGGTCCTCTCCAGGGTTTCTTCAAGGCCATAGACGGAAGGTGACGTCTCTGCATGGTCCCAAACTTTATTGCTTTAGTCTCTGTAACTTCTAATGAGGACGTTAAGTCGTTGACTGTGTAGAAGGTTGACAATATGGTTTGGATGTCTGTCCCCACCCAAATCTCATGTGAAATTGTCATCCTCAGTGTTGGCGCCGGGGCCTGGGGGGAGGTGACTGAATGATGGGGGCAGAGTTCTCATGAATGGTTGAGCACCATCCCCCGCTTGGTGCTGCAAAGTGAGTAACTTCTCTTGAGATCTGGTTGTTGAAAAGTGTGCGGCTCCTCCCCTCCTCTCTTGGTCTTGCTCCTGCCACAAGACACCTGCTTCCCCTTCGCCTTCCACCATGAGCAAAAGCTTCCCGAGGTCTCCCCAGAAGCAGACACCGCCATGCTTCCTGTGCAGCCTGCAGAACCGTGAGCCAATCCAACCGCTTTTCTTTATAAACTACCCAGTCTCAGGTATTTCTTTGCAAGAATGGACTAATACAGTTGATTTTGTGCAAAATTAGACTAAGTAATCAGAAATACTGAAGGACCAAATAAATGACATGAGAGAAGTTTTTCTCCCTATACTTCGTCTTTTATTTCTTTTTATTTTGGAGACAGGGTCTTGCTATGTTGCCCAGCCTGGAGTTCAGTGGTGCAATAATTATAGCTCATTGCAGCCTCAACCTCCTGGGCTCAAACAATCTTCCCACCTCAACCTCTGGAGTATTTGGGACCACAGGTGCACACCACCACGCCTGTCTAATTTTTAAAATTTTTTCTAGAAATGGGGGAGTCTCACTATGTTGCCCAGGCTGGTCTTGAACTCTGGCCTCAAGCCAATTCCCTGCCTCAGCCTCCCAAAATGCTGGGATTAAAGGCATGAGCCACCTTGTCCCACCTGAAAATGCAGACTTTTAAGACTGTGAACTCTATCACTATGCTTGTCTCAGGAGACACATTCAGATTCTGCAAGACTTTTAATGTCTACGCTCTTTTAAGAATCTGCAGCCTCACTGGTCCTCTCCAGGGTTTCTTGAAGGCCATAGAAGGAAGACAGTCCTTCCAGATCATTGTCCTGAACGTTAACTTTATTGCTTCACTTTCGGTAACTTCTGATGATGACATGAAGTCACTGGCTGTGTAGAAGGTTGATTTTGTGCAGAATTAGACCACGTACTTGGGAATACTGAAGGAGCAAATAAATGATATGGGAGTGCGTTCTGCCCCCATTCTTCGTACTATTATTATTATTAAAGAGACAGGGTCTCACTCTGTTGCCCAGCCTGGAGTATAGTGGTGCAATCTCAGCTCACTGCAGCCTTGACTTCCCAGGCTCAAGCGATCCTCCTGCCTCAGCCTCCTGAGTACCTGGGACTACAGGCATGTGCCAGCATGCCTGGCTAAGCGTTTATTTTTGTAGAGATGGAGTCTCACTATGTTGTGCAAGCTGGTTTTGAATTCCTGACCTCAAGTGATCTGTCCACCTGGGCCTCCCAAAGTGCTAAGAGTAACTCCTATTCTTTTTTTGTTTGTTTGTTTGTTTTTTGAGATGGAGTCTTGATCTTTCACCCAGGCTGGAGTGCAGTGGTACGATCTCAGCTCACTGCAACCTCTGCCTCCTGTGTTCGAGTGATTCTTGTACCTTAACCTCCTGAGTAGCCGGGACTACAGGTGCGCACCACCACGCTGGGTTAATTTTTGTATTTTTAGTAGAGACAGGGTTTTACCACGTTGCCCAAGCTGGTCTCGAACTCCTGACCTCAGGTGATCCACCTGCCTTGGCCTCCCAAAGTGCTGGGATTACAGGCGTGAGCCACTGCCCTTATTCTTTATTGCAACCTGGTTCATATTCAGATGGCCAGTCTGTTACGCCCCATGTTCAAACCTGAGGCCGAGGGTGGAGTGAGGATCTGTGGTACCTTGACTTACCTATGAGCCAGTCCATCTCCTCCACATGATCACCGTATAAGCCATGCTGACTTTTCCCCAGGAAGGCACTCGTGGTCACAAGGGGAATGTGCACATGCAGCAAAGAAAGGAAGAGGAGAAATGGCCCATGCTTGTGTCTGAAACATGAAAACCTCCTTGAGAATACACAGAATACACAGTACATCAAAGGGACCCCTGCACCCATATGTTCACTCCAGCACTATTCACAAGAGCCAAGGCAGGGGATCACCTTCTGAGTCCATCAGTGGGTGAACACAGAAAAAATAGATGGTGGGCCAGGCGTGGTGGCTCGTGCCTGTAATCCCAACACTTTGGGAGGCTGAGGCGGGAGGATCACTTGAGGCCAGGAGTTCAAGACCAGCCTGGGCAACACGGTGAAATGCCATCTCTACCAAAAATAGAAAAATTAGCTGGGCATGGTGGCTTGAGCCTGTGGTCCCAGCTACTTGGGAAGCTGAGGTGGGAGATGGCCTGAGCCTGGGAGGTGGAGCTTGCAGTCAGCCGTGATCACACCACTGCACTCCAGCATGACCCTGTCTCAAAAAAAAAAAAAAAAAAAAAAGAATATATTGTATATGTCCACAATGGAATACTATTCAGCCATAAAACAGAATGGAGGCTGGGCACGGTGGCTCACGTGTGTAATTCCAGCACTTTGGGAGGCTGAGTCTGGCAGATCAGTTGAGGTCAGGAATTCAAGACCAGCCTGGCCAACATGGTGAAATGGTGAAACCCTGTCTCTACTAAAAATAAAAAAATTAACAGGTTGTGGTGGCAGGTGCCTATAATCCCAGCCACTCAAGAGATGGAGGCATGAGAATTGCTTGAGCCTGGAAGACAGAGGTTGCAGTGAGCCGTGATCACACCACTGCTCTCCAGCATGGGAGACAGAGCCAACCTTGTCTCAGAAAAAAAGGGAATACCTGGTATATGTACATGATGGAATACTATTCAGCCATCAAAAAGAATGAAATCCTGTCGTTTACAGATGAAACAGGACGTCGCTATGTTAACTAAAATAAGCCAGGCAGAGAATGACCAATACTGCATGTTGTCACTCATATGTGGGAGCTGAAATAATTGATCACATGAAGATAGAGAATAGAATGATAGAGACCTGGGAAGGGTGAAGGACAAAGAGAAGTGGTTTAAAGAGTACAAACATATAGTAAGTCTAAAGGAGTACATTCAATGTCTGACAGCAGAGTACGGTGACCAAAGCTAACGAAATGTATTGTACTCAGGAGATGGATATTGTAAGTATGCTGACTTGCTCGCTATTCAGTGTATATACATAACAAAATTTCACACATACCCCATACATTTGTACAAATTTAAAAGTAAGAGCCAGGCACGGTGGCTCACGCTTATAATCCCAGCACTTTGGAAGGCAGAGGTGGGAGGATGGCTTGAGCCCAGGAATTCAAGACCAGCTTGGGCCATATAGTGAGACCTTGCCTCAAAAAACAAAACAAAACAAAACAAAACCAAAATGAGACATTAGAAAAAGGCCAGGCGCAGTGGCTCACTTCTGTAATCCTAGCCCTTTGGGAGGCCAAGATGGGAGGATTGTTTGAGCCCAGAAGTTTGAGACCAGACTGGGCAACATAGTGAGACCCCATCTCTACAAAGAATGCAAAAAAAGTTTAAAAAACTGTCAATAAAAATGTACAGAATCCAATGGCGTGTATGTCAATGCTATTCGAGCCATCACATGACATCCACAACGAGACTCTCATATGGGAAACCCAGTCATATGAAAAGGTTGGCTTCTGCATACCCATCTTCTCTGAGGGTTTGTGTCTGAGATCCCAAAGATAATAACGAGACTCTCAGATGCTCTGAGCAGTTACCGCCTTTTTTTTAAAATTAAATTTTATTTTTATTTTTTTAGCGACAGGGTCTCACTCTGTCACCCAGGCTGAAGTACAGTGGTGTGATCATTGCTTACTGCAGCCTCGACATCCAAGGCTGAAGCGAACCTCCCACCTTAGCCTCCTGAGTAGCTGGTATTGCAGGCACACACCACCATGCACGGCTAATGATTTTATTTATTGTAGAACCAGTCTTCCTATGTTGCCCAAGCTAGTCTAAAGCACCTGGGCTAAAAGATCCTCCCATCTTGGCCTCCCAAAGTGCTGGGTTGACAGGCATGAGCCATCGCGCCCAGCCCCATCTCCTCTTTAAGATGCGATGGTTGCTTACCTTTCAATATAGGAAACAGCTTCCTTTAGCATAAGACTCGCTGTTTTCTCCAGAACCATGGGTTGCTCCGTGACGTCGTGGTTTCTCATCAGGATACAGTTCCAGCGTCTCACAAACCCGAAGCTGGAGTACCAGGAGATGAAAAACAGGAAGAGCACGCAGGCCATGCCAGTGACCGCTCTCCCGGAGACAGAGATGAAACCGCAGGTCTTGCCGGCAGCCACGGTGAGAATCCCCAGCGCCAGGAACTGGGTGTAACCCCAGAGCTGCGCCCTCAGGGCGGTGTCCACTTCGGGGGGCCTGCCTGGGTCACAGTCGTTTGTGAGCGTGAAGGGCATGCCGTAGAAATAGTCGAATCCGTGGTTCAGGGGGTGGTGGCAGTGATCCCCGCGGGACGCACAATTCACGCCCTGGTGCCATTTTCCTAAAAGAAACGCAAAACGCTCAACAGAGACCCGCTTTGAAGCCGCCCTGTCTGCCGCAAAGAACCCTGGAATCATTCCGCGTCGGCAGCGAAAGAAAAGTCTGCAAAGAACAAAACTGGAAATGGAAAGGCAATGAATGGACTGGATACGGGTGTTTAAATGAACGCATTCTAACCCGTGGAGGCGAATGAATGTATCCATGTCAGAACCGTTGGCAAATGATTAAAGGTTTAAGACTTTCCCCGTTGCGGTGGCTCACGCCTGTCATCTCAGCCCTCTGGGAGGCCGAGGCGGGCGGATCACGAGGTCAGGAGATCGAGACCATCCTGGCTAACACGGTGAAACCCCGTCTCTACTAAAAAAAATACGATACAGGTGACGGGAGCCTGTAGTCCCAGCTACTTGGGAGGCTGAGGCAAGAGAATGGCGTGAACCCGGGAGGCAGAGCTTGCAGTGAGCCGAGATCGCGTCACTGCACTCCAGCCTGGGAGCCAGAGTAAGACTCCGTCTCAAAAAAATAAATAAATATATACAAACAAATAAAAAATAAAATAAAAAAGGTTTAAGACTTTCCAGAATGTTGCTCTTACAGGCTTGCAACCCTAGACCATTTTGCTATTAAATAATTTACAAAATATCATTTATATATATGTAATACATGTATTTATATTATAGGATATATATTACTTATAATATAGGTTTTATATATCTTATATATGTAATATATATCCTATATAAATATAAATATTTATAATGTGATAAATATAAATATTTAAAATGTGATCGTTACGTACCTTTCAATATAACAGTTGCATACATTTGAAAATATTTATATTTATATATAAATACAAATATGTATTATATACATTACAAATATACATTGTTATATACTACATAACATGTATTACATATTATATTATACTGAAAAAAGAAAATCTTTATAATGTAAGAATACACAATACATCAAAGGGGCCCTACACATACATTTATATAAATATATACAGAAATACAAATAGATAAAATATATTATATATAACCTGTATTCATATCTCAAAAAAGAGAAAATTATTTACCTGTATATATAGGTTATATATATTTATACATTACCTATGTATATATAAATATAATATAAATAAACTATATTAATATTTATACATAGGTAACATATATTATATATATAACCTGTATATATATAACCTGTATAACTATTAATATTTATATATACATAGTTAATATATAAATATATATAACCTGTATATACAGGTAAATAATTTTCTTTTTTTTGAGATGGAGTCTCGCTCTGTCACCCAGGCTGGTGTTCTGTGGCACGATCTTGGCTCACTGCAACCTCTGCCTCCCAGGTTCAGGAGATTCTCCTACCTCAGCCTTCTGAATAGCTGGGATTGGAGGCATGTGCCACCATCCCTGGTTAATTTTTTGTATTTTTAGTAGAAATGGGGTTTCTCCATGTTGGTCAGGCTGGTCTCAAACTCTTGACCTCAGGTGATCTGCCCGCCTCGGCCTCCCAAAGTGCTGGGATTATAGGCGTGAGCCACCGCGCCTGGCCACAAGTAAATAATTTGAAGTAACATATATATTACCTAAAATATATAAGTATATATTACATATATCATATAAAATATATACTTATATATTTTATAAGGTTATATAAGTTATATATAAGTAATATGTTACATATATAAGTAAATATAAGTATTATAAGTTATATATAAGTATTAAAGTATATAAAGTATATAAATACATATTAAGTGTATAAAAATATAATTATGTTTTGTATGTGTATAAATATATGTTGCTTAAAAGGTAACCAGTTACTAATGATAGTCGACTCCTGAATAATTCTGTAACATAGTAGCAGAAACTGGCTCTCTCCACCAACTTGTAATCAAAATGCCCTTATACAACTTTTCCTAAGGCAGTAACTGTTAGAACAATATCATAGAGGTAGTACGTGGGGAAGCCCACACCTCAAATTTCAGGAGAGTGTCCAAGAACTGGGCTGTCCATGTGGACCTTCTGTCCATCTCACGTCCAGACCATCCACCAACTCAAATTGAGGTACAGAACAGATGGGAAAGGCTTCAAGGCCCTATTTGCCCCACTTGAAACTAGAGGAGATCAGGCCAGGTGCGGTGGCTCTCGCCTGTAATCCTAGCACTTTAGGAGGCAGAGGCGGGTGGATGGCTTGAGTCCAGGAGTTCGAGACCAGCCTGGGCAACATGGCAAAACCCCATCTCTACTAAAAGTACAAAATTAGCCGGGCATGGTGGCAGGCACCTCCTCAGCTACTCAGGAGGCTGAAGTAGGAGGACTGCTTGAGCCTGGGAGGTAGAGGTTGCAGTGAGCCGAGATCATGCCACTGTACTCCAGCCTGGGAGACCCTGTCTCCAAAAAAAAAAAAAAAAAAAAAAGTGGAGGAGTTCAAGCTGGTTTCTCCCCACTTCCTCCTGACCACTCCTCACAAACTGTCCTCAGAACTCCAGAAGCCGTAAAAATGTATCTTTTTCCCAAACCCAGACACACTCCTATTCCCCCTTCTTATGTTTAAAGGAAAAAAGATGCTTGGATGTGGTGAGGAGTGTCTCTGGAACATGAACAGACTTTCCCCAAAACAGACTGAGTGTGTGAACCACAAAATGAAGACTCTTAGAAGAAATGCTAATGTTTACCAAGATGCAGAGGTCTGCAAGGTCTGCAATCTTGGTAAAGAAAAGTAAATCCACTTATATAGTTAACAAAAGAAAGAAAAATTGGCTGAGTGCAGTGACTGACACCTGTAATCTCATCACTTTTGGAGGCTAAGGTGGGAGGCTCTCTTGAGGCCAGGAGTTCAAGACCAGCCTGGGCAACATAGCAAGACCCCATCTCTACAAAAACAAGAAATAAAATTAGCTGGGCATGGTGGCGCGTGCCTGTGGTTCCAGCTAGTTAGGAAGCTGAGGTGAGAGGATCACCTGAGAAGACCTTATCTCAAGAAGAAAGAAGAAAGAAAGGAAGGAAGGAAGGAAGGAAGGAAGGAAGGAAGGAAGGAAGGAAGGAAGGAGTTTACCAAGATGCAGAGGTCTGCAAGGTCTGCAATCTTGTAAAGAAAAAGTAACCACTTATAGCACAAAAGAAAGAAAATTGGCTGAGTGCAGTGACTGACACCTGTAACTTACCACTTTTGGAGGCTAAGGTGGAGGCTCTGAGGCCAGGAGTTCAAGACCAGCCTGGGCAACATAAGGAGACCCCATCTCTACAAAAACAGAACAAAATTAGCTGGGCGCAGGCGCGTGTCAGGTCTAGCTGACAGGCTTGAGGTGAGAGGGATCACTTCATAAAGACTTATTCGGCCAAACAGCACAGCAGCGAAGGGCTGGCTGAATAATAAATAAGGAAGGAAGGAAGGAAGGAAGGAAGGAAGGAAGGAAGGAAGGAAGGATCCACCCTCAGAATAGGAGATACACAGAGTTCTACAGTATAAAGCACTGGCCCTGTAATCCCAGCACTTTGGGAAGCCAAAGTAGGTGGATCACTTGAGGTCAGGAGTTCAAGACCAGCCTGGCCAACATGCTGAAACCCTGGCTCTACTAAAAATGCAAAAAAAAAAATTAGCCGAGCATGGTGGCACATGTCTGTGGTCCCAGCTACTTGGGAGACTGAGGCAGGAGAATCGCTTGAACCCAGGAGGTGGAGGCTGCAGTGAGTTGCAATCACGCCACTGCACTCCAGTCTAGGGGACAGAGCAAGACTCTGTCTCAAAAAAGTAAAATAAAAAATAAAAGAAGAAAAAACTTTTAAAAAATTTAAAAATAAAAATAAAGTGGCAGGAACAATGGTTGTCCTCCTTTAGAAAACCACAGCTTTGACAAGTTGGGATGTTGCAGCTCCTGTGAATGGGACAGTGGCTTTGAGTGTGAGAAAAGCACAGAGAGGAACTGGGGACCCTGCACAGAGATCTCACCACCAGGTCAGGGCGGTGACCTCACCACACCATTGAGCTCCCATGTTCTCATGTATATGACGGGGACAGCACCTCTAAACCCACAGGCTGGGCAAGGAATGAAGGAGGTAACCAGCAGAGTGCCTGGGGCTTGGCGGCATAAACCAACATCTCCCTCCTTTCCTCTCCATGCAGAAAGGAGTCTAAGGGGCAGGCCTGAGCTAGTGCCCCTTACAAAGGCCAGCTTGTAAGATTCCCCGTGGCTGGTGTTTGAGATCTGGATTTCCAATGGAGAATTCACACTATTAAAATAATCAGCTGACTGTGCCTAAACTATATGCAAAAGCAGCATGGTTCATGCTAAGCACCTCTTTCGGTTCTGGGAGTCTGGAATTCGGGTAGCTGCCAGGCAGTGAGTGCCTGCAGAACCAGCCCCCAACAGAAACCCCTGGGCGCTGAGTCTCCGGGAGCTCCCCTAACGGACAGCATTCCATGCGTGCTGTTCAAACTCATTTCCGGGGGAATATGGTGCATCCTGTGTGATCCCACGGGGGGAGGATTCTTGGGAGCTTGTGTCTGGTCTGCCCTGGGCTTCATTCCATGTAATTCCCATCACTGATTCTGCCTCACCTCCTTTGACTGTCATCACTCACTCATGAGCACAACTGCATGCCAAACCCTCCTAGCAACTGTCTGAACTTAAGGGTGCTCTGGAGCCCCTGGCATGCTGTCTTATACTGGGTGCTCTCGAGGGCCCCTGGCATGCTGTTTCTTATACTGGGTGCTCTCGGAGGCCCCTGACACACTGTCTGTTATACTGGGTGCTCTCGGAGGCCCCTGATACGCTGTCTCTATACTGATTATATCGGAGGCCCTGACACACTGTCTGTTATACTGGGTGCTCTCGGAGGCCCCTGACACACTGTCTGTTATACTGGGTGCTCTCGGAGGCCCCTGACACACTGTCTCTTATACTGGGTGCTCGGAAGGCCCCCTGACACACTGTCTGTTATACTGGGTGCTCTCGGAGGCCCCTGACACATTGTCTCTTATGCAGGTGCTCTCGGAGGCCCTGACACACTGTCTGACCCATACTGGGTGCTCTCGGAGGCCCCTGACACTGTCTGTTATACTAGGTGCTCGGAGGCCCTGGCATGCTGTGTGTTATAAAGGGTGTTCTGCCCTGCAGGGTTGTTGTCCTAAAGGAAGGCAGTGCTTTACATTATCACAGGGTTTGAGATGGTGAGTGGCCATGCAGAAGATAATATCTGAAGAAGATTCGTGATAAATGGGGACAGCCCCTGACACACTGTCTGTTATACTGGGTGCTCTCGGAGGCCCCTGGCATGCTGTGTGTTATAAAGAGGGTGTTCTGCCCTGCCAGGGCTTGTTGTCTAAAGGAAGGCAGTGTTTGTTAACTCTGGGGGTTTTGAGATGGTGAGTGGCCATGCAGAGAAAGATAATATCTGAAGAAGGTCGTGATAAATGGGGACAAGCTGAAGACTGATAGGTCCAGAGAAGAAAAGAGGGCAATCTCCTAGGATTTTGAATTTAAAAAGAAAAAAAAAACTCATCAAAAACTGGGGACAATCCGATAGGCCTGAGAGGGACCAGGCACCAACTTCTGATTCAGAGGACACAGCATTGTTTTCCTTTGCAGGAAAACGGGATTTTCTTTTTTTTCTTTGAGATGGAGTCTCGCTCTGTCACCCAGACTGGAGCGCAGTGGCGCGATCTTGGCTCCCTGCAGCCTCCGCCTCCCGGGTTCAAGTGTTTCTCCTGCTTCAGCCTCCTGAGTAGCTGGGATTACAGGCGTGCACCACTGCACCCAGCCTGGGATCTTTTTTATCACGAATCTTCTCAACCACCGTATACTGTTAGGCTCCCACATATCCACACCTATGAGGCCAGTTGCATAGCCGCGCTGCTGCAAGATTCTTGCAAAAGTGGTTTCGTTCTCAGGGAGACCACCTGAGCCAGCGTTCCACTGAAGGGCCCGGTATCCATTGCTGGCTTCCATGCCTGTGGGGCAGGGAAAAGAGGAAGAATTTACTTTCCCTTCTCTAGATGAGCACTTCTCAACCAGGGGGATTTGGTGTCTGAGATCTGGATTTGTGCACCCGAGCCAAGCTGCTATTATCTATCATCCATCTATCATGTATGGAGCTATCAATTATCTACCCATCTATCATCTGTCATCTATCTACCTACCTACCTACCTATCACACTATTCTTGAAATAATAAGCATGGCCAATGTCTGGAGATGTTTGTGGTGTCACAACTCAGAAACGGTGGGGTGTGGTGCTACTCGCTATCGAGAGCGTGGAGCCCAGAGATGCTGCTCAAGACCCGACATACAGTGCACAGAACGGCCCCACCAGAGAATCACCTAGCCCCAAATGTCCATCATGCCAAAACAGAGACGCCCTACCTTAGGATGACAGACTCTACGTGATCTATCATATGTCTATCTATCTGTTTACCTAGTTATCACCTGTCACCTGTCTATCTCAATATGTATCCATCATCTATCATCTATATCTATCCATCTATCTATGTATCTATTATCTATCATTACCATTAATCATCTAGCTATCAATCAGCTATCATTATCTATCATCTATCTATCACTTATCTATCATATATCATTATCTATCAGTTAGCTATTATCTAGCTATCAATCATCTATCACGTCATTATCCGTCATCTATCATTATGTATCATCATCTAGATATCTAGCTATCAATCATCCATTATCTGTCATTATCATCCATCTAGTGTGTATCTAGCTATCAATTATCTATCTATTATCTATCTATCTGTCTATCTATCTATCATCTAGCTGTATCAGAGTGACTCTCAACTTGGGGAAACTTTGCTCTCTCTAAGAGACACTTGCTCTTGTGATCAGTCGTACTGGGTCAGAATAAACCTCTTTAAAATATTCCAGACTTGGTTTTTCTGTTCACATCCTAATGATCACAACTTTTATATGTATGCACACAATACAATATTCCTTACATAAATACAAGGAAGATGATGAATTGCAGATGATCTTTGTACTATGCCCCTATATCTTCACCATCAGTACTCAACTGTTACAGATGATAGAATGAGTGCACACAGATGTACCCATTTCTCCATCATCTCCATGACACCAACCTGATCTGAAAGAATGTCTCCCCGTGAGGAATGCAGCTCGGCTCGGGGTGCAGAGCGGGGCGGCCGCCAGGTGCTGAGTGAGCCTCACACCTTCCTCTGCAAGTTGGTCAATATTCGGCGTTCTGAGCAAAGCACACAAATGTCATTGTTGAAAGGGAGACGTGCATTTGGCTTAAGCAGATCCCTGCTCTGAAAGGCAGAGAAATAGACTGCAAAGACTTCACCGGATTTCAGAATTAGTAGCATTATGGTCTGCTGTAGAGGCAGATCGACCCCTGTCCTAAGTTTGGTGTTGATGTTGAGATGGATGACGTCACACACACACACACAAAGTATATGAGACAATTTATGACTCATATAATGAGGCTTTCCGGGGAGAGTAGGGCAGGCCTTCCAAGCTCATGTGAAATTAAGGAAGCAAGGAAAGGAGATTTTTGTTTTTAATTGTGGTGAGGGTGTGGGGCTGGGATGAGGGCTCCCATGCAAGGGTGGGGGCGTTTATGGTCTGAATCTGCCATCAGCACTGAAGGAGATAGTCCCTGTGCTTTCTTATCTACTTGTCCAGATGTGGAGCCAGACAGAAGAGGCCTAAAAGCTTTCAGCATCAGATATCAAAAAACAGTGAGGGCCGGGCGCGGTGGCTCATGCCCGTAATCTCAACACTTTGGGAGGCCTAGGCGGGCGGATCACTTGAGGTCAGGAGTTCAAGACCAGCCTAGCCAACATGGTAAAACTCCATCTCTACTAAAAAAAATACAAAAATTAGTCAGGCAAGGTGGTGCATGCCTGTAATCCCAGCTACTCAGGAGGCTGAGACAGGAGAATAGCTTGAGCCCAGGAGGCGGAGGTTGCAGTGATCCGAGATCACACCACTGCACTCCAGCCTGGGTGAGAGAAAAGAGTGAGACCCTGTCTCAAAAAAAAAAAAAAAAAAAAAAAAAAAGGAAGGAAGGAAGGAAGGAAAGAAAGAAAGAAAGAAAGAAAAGAAAGAAAGAAAGAAAGAAAAAGAAAGAGAAGAAAGAAAAGAAAGAAAGAAAAAGAAAGAGAAGTCAAAAGAAGCATCCACATAGAATGGAACCTATGGAATATGACTTAGCCACTGCAAGGGGTGAGGAACAGTACTGACACTTGCTGCCACGGGGAGGAGCCCTGAAAACACTGTGTTCTGTGAAAGCACCCTGACATAAAAAACCACAGGTCATATAATTCCATTTGTATGAAAGGTCCCTAACAGGGCAGTCTAGAGAGATGGAAAGTATATTAGTGGCTGCCAGAGGCCGAGGGTTAGGGTGCTGAGAGAGTTGGAGGAGTGTTAGCTGGGGCTGCCATAACAAAGTCCTACAGAGCTGGCAGCTTCAACACCAGGTATTGGTTGGGTGCAGTGGCTTCCGCCTGTCATCCCAGCACTTTGGGGGGCCAAGGTGGGTGGATCACTTGAGGCCAGGAGTTCGAGACAAGCCTTGGCAACATAGTGAAAACCTGTCTGTACAAAAAAATACAAAAATTAGCTGGGCATGGTGGCATGTGCCTGTAGTCTCAGCTACTCAGGAGGCTGAGGTGGGAGGATTGCTTGAGTCCAGGAGACGGAGGTTGCAGTGAGCTGTGATCACGCCACTACATTCCAGCCTGGGCAATAAAGTGAGACCCTGTCTCAAAAAACAAAACAAAATAAAACAGAAAAACCCAGTAGACATTTATTTGCTCACATTTCTGGGAGCTGGAAGTCTGAGATCAAGCGTGGGCAGGGCTGGTCACTCTCCTGGGCTCATAGACACCATCTTCTCCCCGTGTCCTCAGGTGGTCATTGCTCTATGTGTGTCTGTGTCCTTATCTCCTCTTCTTATGAGGACCCTAATCTTACTGGATCAGGGCCCACGCTAGTGACCTCATTTTACCTCAATCACCTCTCTAAAGACTCAGTCTCCAAATAGAGTCACAGTCTGAGGTCCTGGGGACTAGGACTTCAACGTAGGCATTTAGGAGACACAGATTTGCCCCTAGCTGAAGGTGATGGCTAAAGGGGTGCAGTTTCTCTGGGGATATGTAAATGCTCTAACATGGTTTGTGGTGATGGATGGACAGCTCTGTGAATAGACTAAAAGTCCCTGAACTGTACACTGTAAACAGATGAACCACATATTCTGTGAATTACAACCAGGCCTGCTCAGGGTGTTCGAAAGGGGATCCCTGGACAGGGGGCAGATTGACTGATTGATTGACTGATTTAGAGACAGGGTCTTGCTCTGTGGCCCAGGCTAGAATGCAGTGGTGCGATCTCAGCTCACCATAACCTCCACCTCCCGGGCTCAAGCCATCCTCTCTCAGCTTCCCGAGTAGCTGGGACTACAGGCGTGTGCCACCACACCTGGCTAATTTTTTGTATGTCTGATAGAGACAGGGTTTTGCCATATTGCCCAGGCTGGTCTCAAACTCCTGGGCTCAAGTGATCCACCTTCCTTGGCCTCCCAAAGTGCTGGGATGACAGGCAGGAGCCACTGCGCCCGGCCCACACAGGGCAGACTGCTGCACGTGCTGCAGTGTCCACTGCAAAGAAGGGAGGCCTTGCTCTTCGGGGACCACTCCTGAGGTTGGCAGCTATTGAAAAGCAGATGCAGCCTGCATTCTGGGGCGATCCTTCTAGGAGAAAAGCTCACTAAACGGAATAGGGAGGTTTCTCACCTTTTCTCCTGTTGTAGAAGGCACATGAGCACCACTCAAGCACTCTGCTGGTAAGGCTGGCATAGAGGCTACTACTCTGTGTTTGCACATGCCACTGCAGTGGGCTGAATGAATGGGGGTCTGCCAACTGGTCTGTCCACGTGCTGACCCCCCAAACCTGTGTGTGGGACCTTGCTTAGAAAAACTGTCTTTGGAGATGTTGTTAGTTAGGTATCCCGAGATGAGATCATCCTGATTTAGAGAGGGCCCTAGATGCAATGACCAGTGTCCTTCTAAAAGACAGAGGAGGAAACACAGGCACAGAGGAGAAGGCCACGTGGGGACGGAGGCAGACACTGGAGTGATGTGGCCACAGGCCCAGAGATGCCTGGAGCCCCCAGGAGCTGGGAGAAGCAGGAAGGGTCCTTCCCTACAGCTTCGCAGGGAGCTCCGTCGGTGTCTTCATCTCCTCTTTTGGTAATCCATATCAGATTAGGGCTCACCCTAAGGACCTCGGTTTAACTCAATTACCTCTTCAGAGACCCCATCTCTGAATACAGTCACACCCTGAAGTACCGGTGGTTAGGGCTTCAACCTACAAATTTGGAGGAGACCAGAATTCAGCCCGCAACAGATGGTGTTAGCAAACGTACTCAACGGAAGACGAGACCTTTACAGTGGGCGGGCCTCGCTGCAGTGACCTGTGTCCTTATAGGACGAGGAGATTAGGACACAGACGCAGAGAAGGAGGCCGCGTGGAGACAGAGGCAGAGACTGGAGTGATGGGGCCACAAGCCCAGGGACACCTGGAGCCCCCAGGAGCTGGGAAAGGCAGGAAGGATCCTCCCATAGGGCCCCCAGAGGGAGCCCGGCCCTGCCCACACCTGGATTTAAGGTTTCTGGTCTCCAGACCTAGGAGAACAAATTCCCTTTGTTTTAAGCTACCCATTTTGTGGTAATAATACATTCACCCACTCACCGCAGTTCTGCATCGTTTAAAAGGGCCTTTTTACCTGTTGGTAGTTTTTTGTGGTGTTGAGTTCTGAGGTCCTAAGGAGTTTCCTAATTTCTCTAGGCAGATTTTAAATGCACCATTCAGTCAAACTCACATAACACCACCACCAATAACAACAGCCAACTGTACCTCAGGGTGTGGTTCCCATAGCAACCGAGATCCCCAATGCCTAGATCATCTGCCATGATCAGTAGGATATTTGGTCTAAAGGCATTTGCAGTTTTAGGTTCACACGTCTTCAGAAGCAAGCATAAAAACAGCAGCACCAGCAAAGAGTCCCTGGAGAGAAAGTGAAACACAGAAATGACCATCTACAATTTGGCACGGGAAGTAGGCATTTCAAGGCAGCTCGCTGGGAAGGCAAAGGTCTTATCACTGAATTAAGACGTTCAGCTTTATGGGAGGTTATTATCCTGGCCTGAATTAGTGCACTAGTGTCCCCGGACCAAACGAGGGTCAGACTGCTATTTCTCGTGGCCCAATAGCGAGATGCAGATGAACTGGGAAACAGGAGAGCTTTTAATTCTGTAACCAGTTACAGGAGGAAGGCCTGGAAATTCTCTCCCAACGAACTCAAAATTACAAAGCTTTCCAGAGCTTATATACCTTCAAAGCTCTATGTCTAAGGGTAAGTGTGCATTCATCTAAAGACATAAGTGATTAACTTCTCATCTGTAACTAAGGTCTGAGTCCTGAAGACTTTCCTCTGGAGCCTCAGTAAATTGACTTCATCTAGATGGGTCCAGGTGCTGGGGTGATGACCCTTATCTTGTCTCCCGCTAAGTCACAGAGTTTTGGGGAGTTCCTTTAGTCCCCAGTAAAGCTTGTTTGTGGAGGTCTAGGGAGTTCCTTAAGACCCACAATAAAACTTGTTTAATCCTAAATGGGTCCTGTTAAGAATTCCTTCATTATCTCCTCATGCTTCAAAGGCCCAGGAGAGGCCTGGGCAAAACTCTTGGGGGGCTTTTGTTACATCCCAGCCTTTGCATAAGGGCACTGGTTGTTTCAGCTTTTAAGATGTAACTTCACCACTCGGTCAGTGCTGAAACAGTTGTTACGGAGGCCTGCGTTAGTGAGACCTGGCCTGCCACGCTAGACCACACAGTTCAGAACAAACTGGAATGGAGTCACTCGTGCTAACTGCCACATCATCAAGCTGAACAGGGAAACAGGCCAGTTTTCCGGAAAACAGAAGATTCGAGCAAGCAAGAAGAAGATGTGTAGTTCACCTGAGCTAAGAAAATCTCCCATGCTTTAACCCTGTACGAAAAGTCACTTTGAAACAACCAGTCTGCTTTATCATTCTTTTTGTTTCTTGTTTTGAGATGGGGTCTTGCTGTGTTGCCCAGGCTGGAGTGTAGTGGCATGATGGTGGTTTACTGCAACCTCTGCCTGATTCTGAGGTGGGAGGACTGGCTCAAGCAGTCCTTGAACTGCAGTGGATGGATGGATGGGCGGTGGCTTAGTGCTGGGGGATGGTCCTTGAACAGCAGTAGGTGGGTGGTGTCTTAGTGTTGGGGGATCATGGCCGTGCTCTCTGGGGAGGGCACGAACGAGGGGTGTGTCTCAGGGTGCTTGGGGGGACACGGCTGTACTGGGGAGCAGGGGAGGAATAAGGCCATGGGGAGGGATCCCGTGTGGCCAGCAGGGTAATGGCCACGGAAGGGGACAGGATGGGGCGTGTCTCAGAGGGTGGCGAGAGGCAGGGCAGTGCTGCTGAGGCAGGAGAATAGGGTCTGGAGGCAGGGAACCTAAGGGTTTTCATGCCGACTTCCTAGAACTAAATTGAAAGGAAAATCCTAATTTTCCTTTTTGGTTCATTTTTAAAATTTTTATTATTATTATTTTTTTGAGACAGAGTTTCACTTTTGTTGCCCAGGCTGCAGTTCAATGGCATGATCTGGGCTCACTGCAACCTCCACCTCCTGGGTTCAAGCGATTCTCCTGTCTCAGCCTCCTGAGTAGCTGGGATCACAGGTGCCTGCCACCACGCCCGGCTAATTTTTTTGTATTTTTAGTAGAGGCCCGGCCTAATTTTTGTATTTTTTGTAGAGACGGGGTTTCACCATATTGCCCATGCTGGTCTCAAACTCCTGACCTCAGGTGATCCACACGCCTCGGCCTACCAAAGTGCTGGGGTTGCAGGCATGAGCCACCTCTCCTGGCGGGAAAATCCTAACTTTCCATGCCTAAGTAACAAAAGGACTAGAGGCTTCCCTTTGACCTTTTCTGCTGGGCAGATGGTAGATTGGCTGTCTGCAACCAATCAGACTGATTTCGGGTCCAGTCTTCCTTGGCAACTTTGTGACTTCACCTTAGTCTCTGATTAGTTGGTTTTTGCAACCAATCAGATGTTTGCACAGGACTGTGAATTTTGTAACTTCAGCCTCTGGTTGGCTGCTGTCTGCAACCAATCAGACTAATCGCGGACCAACACTTCAGTTACATGAGGTGATGATGAAGTGGCCAATGGGAAACTTTTAGGGGGTATTTGGACCCAAGAAGATTCCGTACCGGGCTCCTGAGCCGCTGCTTGGTCGGCTCTCACACTGTGACGTGTCCTTTCGTTTTCAATAAATCCCTGCTTTCCTTCTTTTGTTGCTTCATTCTTTCTTTGCTGGGCGTTTTGTCCAATTCCTTGTTCAAAATGCCAAGAACCTGGACAACTTGCAGTCACGACCCTCTACCGGTGGTGGAGGACCCAGCAGGGCGTGACCGACCCAGTTTCCGCTCCCTCCAGGCCCCGGCCGGCCTTCCTCCGCCTTCCCTTCCCGTCCTCCTTTGTTCTCTTTCCCTGCCCTTCCAGCTTCCCTTCAGTTCGGTCTCCTCCACTCCCCCTCGTCCCCTCAGTCGCCCCCTATCTCTGGGCTCTGCTGTCTGGCGTCTTTCCCGGGCACAGAACGCGCCTCCAGCTACATTTTGGGGACTACAAGGCGCCGGACACAACCACGCCCTTTACAGGGGCCCAGGCTCGCCTGGGGCGCCCCTCGCCGTGCTCGCGACCCCCTCCCCAGGTCCCCACCCCAGGCCTTAGTGTGGGCCGCGTCCCGGGGTCCCTGGCACCTGGCGGCGGGCGCGGCGCGTCCCCTCCGCGCGGCGGCTCGCATGGTCGAGCGCTGTCCCAGAGCGCAGGACCTTGCCCTTCGCACTCCGCGCCTGGGCTCCGCTAGTGCCAGGGCTTCCGCCCTCTCAGCTGCGGGATCTGGGGTGTGCGCCCGCCCCTCCTTCATCCGCGTCATCTCCTGGCTCTCGGGACCTCCGGAACCTCCGCTTGGAAGCAGGTTTTCCCAGGTCGTCACACGCGGAGGCCGGGGCTAAGGAGGAGCTGATTAAACCCGGTTACGATTGACCGGGCGCGGTGGCTCCCACCTGGGATCCCAGCAATTTGGGAGGCCGAGACGAGTGGGTCACCTGGGATCAGGAGTTCGAGACCAGCCTGGCCAACATGGTGAAGCCTCGTCTCTACTAAAAATGCAAAAATTAGCTGGGCGTGTTAGGCGACTTACAGAGTGACACTCAGTCCCAAAGAATAAATAAATGAAAATGAAAAATAAACCCAGTTAGGTTTGAGCACAGGGAGCCCCTTTTCTTTTTGTCGGGGAGGGTCTTAGGACCTGCCCAGAGCGATCAAGCTGCGATTTCAGTTTCTCAAAACTTGGTGTTTGAAATGTCTGTTCCGGATGCTGGACTTGTTTTCTAAGTCTGGAACGGGAATGCTAGATGGGCCCTTCTTTCTTCTTTTATTACTATTATTATTGTTGTTTTGAGATAGTATCTCACTCTGTCGTCCAGGCTGGAGTGCAATGGTGCGATCCTGGCTCACTGCAACCTCCGCCTCCTGGGTTCAAGCGATTCTGCCTCAGCCTCCCAAGTAGCTGGAATTACAGGCACCTGCCACCACGCCCGGCTAATTCCAATTGTTATTTTTATCTTTGTTCCTGAGACTGCTGTTAAAATTACTCCTTCTGATGAACCGCTGGGCCCTCGACCCCTCCCCATCTTTTCTGTGACTCATCCTTTTGTTTTTGAATGATGCAGTTTTGCTCATTACCCTCGCTCCCATTTTGTTCTTTGTTTTGTTTTTAACTCTTTTGACCTCTAGAAAGGTCAAGGCTGAGAGTTGAGGCTGCAGTGAGCCTTTGTTTTTGTCTTTCTTGACCTCTAGTCACTGATTTTCTCAAGCCCCTTCATGTCTTACCTCACCCCCTCACATCCCATAGAAAACGCAAGATCTGGTCAAAGTATAAATTCGTATTTTGTAGGAAATGCTAGCTTACAGACCCACTTTCCCTCAAAGGGGGTTGCTTAGGTTCTCTTCCACTGGTCAGGGGCAAAATGATTCCATAGTCTTCAAGATAACAGTACTTTCTTCTTCGAAGGCTGAGGCTGTCAAGGGTGAGGCTGTCACCGCCTCCCAAGGAAGTGGAACTACAGGTGTGCACCATCACCCCGACACATTTCTGTTAAGTTATTTTTTTGGTAGAGACTAGGTCCCACTATGTTGCATAAGCTGTTCTCAAACTCTTGCCTCAAGCAGTCCTGCTTTGGCCTCCCAAAGTACTGGGATTACAGGTGAGCCACTGTGCCTGACCAGCCACAAGACTCTATGTTGGGTGTGTAGGTGGGAAGTATATCCAGGTCCTCCTCACCATTATTCTGCCTCCAACATTTATGCCATTTTTTTTTTTTTTTCCTTTGCAACTCAGTTCTCTATGCTTACCAAATGGAATCAGTAAGGTCGGGGAGGTGGGGTGGAAGTTTGTGTTGAAAACATGGATTCAGAAGCCCCTCCTTAAATTCACTGAGTAAGGATTTTCATAAATGAGGGAGCTGCCCCACGCGCCCTGGGATGGGATGATGGGGGTGCCTGTTCACGACAATACAGTCAGGAGCCCCCTCCCTGCATTTATTGAATTGGAATCTCCCAAAATGGTGCTGGGAATTCTATTTAGAAAAGACCATTCACTTTTAATTGGCAAATTTAGTTCATTTACATTGATTACGCTGGCCATCTGTCTGGAGCTAGCTCTTGAGCACTGTTTATTGCTCCTCTCTTTGTCCTGTTACTCTAAAAGAGCTTTTATCAGACCGGCTTGGTGGCTCACACCTGTAATCCCAGTGCTTTGGGAGACTAAGGGGAAGGATTACTTGAAACCAGGAGTTTGAGAACAGCCTGGGAAACACAGAGAGACCCTGTCTCTACCAAAAAAAAACAAGAAACAAACAAAAAAATTTAAGTTAGCCGGGCATGGTGGTGTGCCTCTAGTCCCAGCTACTTGGGAAGCTGAGGTGGGAGAGTCACCTGAGCGCAGGAATTTGAGGTTGCAGTGAGCTGTGATTGCACCATTGCACGCCAGACTGGGTGACAGAGCAAGACCCTGTCTCTAAAAAAATTTTTAAAATAACTTTTTTTTTTTTTTAATCTTTGAGGGCTTCCCAACTGGGATTTCTTGCTGAGCCTCTATCGCACAGATGGAGAAGGCCAGGCCTAGGCCTGGAAGGAGGCGGGCAGGAGACAGCCCAGAAGCAGTTCTGCAGGGAGGTTTAACAGGGGTGGAGCAGAGATTTGATCCTTGGAAGAAATTCTATGCTGCTGGGAGTTGAGATTCCTGAGAACTAGCGAGAAAAGAGCTTTGGGTGCGCTTCGGTAAATTATGTAAACACACTGAGCTGTCTTGGGTGCCCAGGATTTGGAAATGGGGCCTGGGGGCAGTAGGAGCTGGTGCTCCAGAAGTCATATTTGCAGGAGGTTGTGGGGATGGAAAGGGTGGGTAAGCCCTGACCCGGAGGGTCTAACATGACTTTCAGCACATGGAGCCTCCATGGGGACTTTGGCTTCAAAGCCATCAAGGTCAAGAGTGTGGCCAAGTGTGGAGACAGAGGTGACTCTCCCCAGTGGATGCTGAAGAACTTAGGGGTGACTCTATGGGCTGGGAACATCCGGCACAGCTGACCCAAAGTACTGGGTCTTGTTCCATAAGCCATGGCGATGGGGAAGCCATAGGGGTTAACTGGTTCTCCCTGCCACCCCTTCCTCCCTTTCTTCCTTTTTCTTTTTGCTTCTTTCCTTTCCTTCCTTCCTTTCTTTTTAGAGATGAGGTCTCACCCTGTCGCCCAGGCTAGAGTGTAGTGGCACGATCATAGCTCAGTGTAGTCTTGAACACTTTGGGAGGCCGAAGGCTCAAGTGATCCTCCCACCTCAGCCTCCCAAGTAGGTGGGACTACAGGCACGTGTCACCACGCCTAATTATTTAAATTTTATGTGGAGGCAGGGTCTCGCTATGTCATCCCAGCTGGTCTGAAACTCCTGGCCTCAAGCCATCTTAGTGTCCTAAAGTGCTGGGACTACAGATGTGAGCCACCGCACCTGGCCTACTATTTCTTTCTTGACTCAAGAGAATTGGCTGGAGATGGATTTGACGTTTTTGGTCTCTACGCACAGTCTGAATTCTTGGAGGCTGATATGGATTGATAAATTGAGGACACGTTCTTGAGGTGGTGACAAGGTGGGGCATTGCTCATCACATACCGAGGCTTGGAAGAGTGGGAGGAGCGACCTGTTGCTTGAAGCCGGAGACAGAATGTGCTCGGGACTGAATGGTGTTGCCCTCAAATTCACAGGAATAAGGTTTTTATTCATCCTTTAAAATGAGGTCACAAGAGTGGGCCCTATTCCAATAGGAGCGGGGTCCTTATAAGAAGAGATTAGGGCCGGGTACAGTGACTTATGCCTGTAATCCCAGCACTTTGGAAGGCCAAGGCAGGTGGATCACTTGAGGTTGGGTGTTCCAGACCAGCCTGGGCAACATGGCGAAAACCCGTCTCTACTAAATAATACAAAAATTAGCTGGCCGTGGTAGTACATGCCTGTAGTCCCACCTAGGAGGGAGGCTGAGACAGGAGAATCGCTTGAACATGAGGCAGAGGTTGCAGTGAGCCGAGATCACACCATTGCACTCCAGCCTGGGCAACACAGCAAGACTCCATCTCAAAAAAAACCCCCAAAAAACAAGAATCAGAGGTAGGACACAGACAGGCGCAGAGGGATGGCTGTGTGAAGACATGGGAAGAAGGCGGCAGCTGTGCACCGAGAAACAGGTTCTCCCCAGACACAGACTCTGTCATGCCGTGGTCTTGAACATCCAGCTGCTAGAACTGCAATAAATATTCTTGATGATACCCAGTTTATGGTATTTTCATTCTAGCAGCCCAGACAATTAAGGCACAGCCTGATTATGCAATGACCTTGCAGCTCAGAGCTGGGGCGAACCCTGCCTGTACAGTACGGCTTCCACAGCCTGAGTTTGCCCACATCACCTGGGGCACTGGGGACAAAGGAAAACCACTTGAAAACAGTTCCAATGGGAAGCACAGTTCATCCTTGTGGTTTTAAACAATAAACAAACACTGTAAATGGGCACCACAGACAAAGCCACATCAGTGTCAGTTCTTATCTTTGGGGCCTCTCTCCTGTTCATGTGCAAATCTGTAAGTCACAGAGACACCTTTGCTGGGACTTGGGCTGTTTGGGGCTACAGGGCAGCCTCTTCCAGACCGAGCTGGGGTCCATTGACAGAATCCTCCCAGACTCCAGGAGATACTTTGCCTCTCCAGTTTGGGTGTCTGAGTGATCATTCAATGATTCATTATTAATGCTTGTTTGTTTGTTTGTTTGTTTATTTTTGATGAGACAGTCTTGCTGTATCACCCAGGCTGGGGTGCAGTGGTATGATCTCAGCTCACTGCAACCTCCGCCTCCCGGCTTCAAGCAATTCTTCTGCCTCAGTCTCCTGAGTAGCTGGGATTACAGGCGTACGTCACCACGCCTGGCTTCTTTTTGTTTTGTTTTGTTTTGATAGAGACAGGGTTTCACCATGTTGGTCAGGCTGGTCTCGACCTCCTGACCTCAAGTGATCTGCCTGCCTCTGCCTCCCAAAGTGCTGGGATTACAGGCGTGAGCCACTGCACCTGGCCAATGTTTATTGTTCATTTCTACTTTTTCTTGCCTTTTTCTTTGTTTTTTCACAGGGAGAAACTATTCATCCTTATGCAAATAGATATCTTAACATGACGCTGAAGTTTGTTTCATTTTTTTGTTTTCTTTCTTTTTTGAGACAGGGTCTTGCTCTGTTGCCCAGGCTGGGGTGCAGTGGTGCAATCATAGCTCAGTGCAGCCTCCAACTCCTGTGCTCAAATGATCCTCCTGCCTTAGCCTCCTGAGTAGCTAGGACTACAGGCGTGTGCCACCATGCAGGCTAATTTTTTTAATTTTTGTTTTTGTAGAGCTAGAGTTTCATCATGTTGCCCAGGTTGGTTTTGAACCCTGGCCTCAAGTGATCCTCCCGTGGTGGCCTTCTAAAGTGCTGGGATGACAGCCACCACGGTCAGCTGGTTTGTTTCAGTTTGAGTGACAAAATTTCGGAATCGGAGCTCCAGCTTGTCATTGCAGACATTTATTGTGGGCCGTCTTCCCTAAGGCACCAGCAGAGCGGGAACGGGCCACAGCAGGGCTGCAGCCATGGTCTCCAGATGTTGCCCAGCCTGTCCAGCTGCAGAGGAACCGGGCTGAGTGTCCGCTGGTGTTCCCGCACAGCCTGCTGGACTCGTTCCATCACCTGATAGAACACAGGCTCTGAGGCTGGTGTGAGGACGTGGGTCTCAGAAGGGTCTCTTGAGAGGTCAAAGAGCAAAGGTGGATCGTGGTGGAGTACTTTTTCCCCAAAGCATGGGCAGACTTTTCTTCCATAGCAGGCACCGGCTCCCTCTGGCTGGAACACCGGGGTCACAAAGTGGACTTTCCACGTGGTTCCTTCTGGTGGAAAGACAATAATTACCGAGTTGGTATAGAGAGATAGGGTGCAGTGCTGGAGAATGGCATCTTCATAAGGGCTAAAGGGTAGGAATAACACAAGCGTCCATTGGATGCATTGGATGGACAGATAAACAAAACATCGTACATCTTACGTGGAGTACTGTGTAGCTATGGAAAGGAATGACACACTGACACCGGCTGCAACATCAATGAACCCTGAAAATACTATGCTCAGAGAAAGAAGTTACAAAAGAGCACACATTGCGTGATTCCATTCATATTGAATGTCAAGGATAGGGAAACACATAAAGACAGGAAGTAGAGTAGTGGTTTCCAGGGTCTGTAGGGTGTGGAATGGGGAGTGACTGCTGATAGGAAGTGTCTGCTTTTGGGGTGATGAAAATGTTCTGGAGCCACACAGACGTGGAGGTCGCACAACACTGTGAAAGCACGAAGTGCCTGTGAATTGCACTTGGTCAGTTTTTTTTTTCTTTTCTTTTTTTTGAGACAGAGTCTTGCTCTGTCGCCCAGGCTAGAGTGCAATGGTGCAACCTCCGCCTCCTGGGTTCAAGCGATTCTCCTGCCTCAGCCTCACAAGTAGCTGGGATTACAGGAATGCGCCTGTAATTGTTCACAAAGAAGATGAAATCATTTTAAGGTCAGGTGATTAAAACATTTGGAAGCACATCTAGATGCATAAAATAGACTACAAAAGGCTGGACGTGGTGGCTCACACCTGTAATTTCAGCATTTTTGGAGGCCAAGATGGGTGGATTACTTGAACCCAGGAGTTGCCTGGGCAACATACTGAGACCTTGTTTCAATTTAATAAATAAAGAAAAATTGGAGGCCAGGCATGGTGGTTCACACCTGTCATCCCGGCACTTTGGGAGGCCGAGGAGGGTGGATCACTTGAGGCCAGGAGTTCGAGACCAGCCTGCCTAACATGGTGAAACCCCAACTCTACTAAAAATACAAGGAATTAGCCAGGTGTAGTGGTGGGCACCTGTAATCCCAGCTACTCAGGAGGCTAAGGCAGGAGAATCACTTGAACCCGGGAGACTGTGGTTGCAGTGAGCCGAGATTGCACCACTGCACTCCAGCCTGAGCGACAAAGAAAGACTAGTCTCAAAAAAAAATTACAAAAAAATAAGAAAAAAGGAGACTAGAAAAGTCTTGAACACATGTGTGTGCAAGTATGTGTGTGTGCATGTGTGTATGCATGCACATACGTGTGTGTGATGATGACAAAAGTTGCACTTCATATAGCACAGGGAAGAAAGAATGAAATACAGCCCATACATGGTGTTTAAACTATGGGTAACAACTCTCCATCGTTTGAAGACGATTGACAGGTGATCTCAGAAGGCATGTCGCTGGAATGAGAGGGACACATACTGACAAAAACTAAATTTAAAAAGCTCGTGGAGAGGCTGGGCGCGGTGGCTTCCGCTTGTAATCCCAGCACTTTGGGAGGCCAAGGCGGGCGGATCATCTGAGGTCAGGAGTTCGAGACCAGCCTGACCAACGTGGTGAAACCCCGTCTCTACTAAACATACAAAAATTAGCTCGGCGTGGTGGTGGGCGCCTGTCATCCCAGTTACCCGGGAGACTGAGACAGGAGACTCGCTTGAACCCGGGAGGCGGAGGTTGCAGTGAGCCAGGTTCGCGCCACTGCACTCCAGACTGGGGACCGATCGAGACTCCACCTCAAAAAAAAAAAAAAAAAAAAAGCTCGTGGAGAAAAACGGAGGCGCGGAGACGTGGAGATGGACTCTGGAACGCAGCTCCACCCCCAGCCTGTTCTGGGGCATGGTGCTTCCCTCCACAGAGGGACTCTTTCCCGAAGGCTGTTAGGAAGGGGCTCCCCTACTCACTGTCCCGTTGATGCCACCTGGCTGCATGCAGGAAGCCCTCACAATAATGCATCAGGAACTCATGGTCTGAGTGCTGGGCTGTCCCCAGGAGCAAGGGCAGAAGGTCTTGGCCGTCAATCACTCTGCAGGAAGGAACATGGCATGGCTCAGGGTTGGAACAGGGACTTTGGACATTTGTCCCTCCAACATCCACCAGTCCCAACCCCAGGTGCTGCACCCTATGTTGTATCAGTGGAGGGACAGTCCGGGTGTGAGCGCAGATGGATGGAAGGCACGTGTGTGCATTAGCACGCTTAGAAGAAGAATGCAGCAGCGGCCCACGTTAGTCACCACCAAACGTCACCTTTGGCTAAAAAGTAATTAATTGGCCGGGCACGGTGGCTCACATCTGTAATCCCAGCACTTTGGGAGGTCAAGGCAGGTGGATCACCTGAGGTCAGGAATTCGAGACCAGCCTGGCCAACATGGTGAAACCCCATCCCAGCTAAAAACACAAAAATTAGCCAGGCATGCTGGTGCGTGCCTGTAATCCCAGCTACTCGGGAGGCTGAGGCAGGAGAATCGCTTGAACCCAGGAGGTGGAGGTTTCAGTGAGCCGAGATCGCACCACTGCACTCCAGCCTGGGCGACAGAGTGAGACTCAGTCTCAAAAAAAAAAAAAAAAAAAAAAAAAGCTGAAAGAGCCAGCGCCCAAAGACTGGAAGGTAACAAAAGCCCACCAAGAGTTCTGGCCAGGCCTTTCCTGGGCCTTGAAGCATGACAAAATAATGAAGGATTCCTAACAGGACCCGTTTAGGATTAAACACGTTTTATTGGGGGTCTGAAGAAACTCCCCAGACCTTCACAATGAAGTTTTATTGAGAGTCTAAAGGAACTCCCCAAACCTCCATGATTTAGCGGGAGACAAGATGAGGGTCATCACCGTAGCACCTGGACCCATTTAGATGAAGTCAATTTACTGAGGCGCCAGAGGAAAGTCCTCAGGACTCAGACCTTAGTTATAGATTAAAGGAAGTTGAATCACATGTCTTTAGATGAGTACACACTTACATGTGGACATACAGCTTAGAAGATATAGAAGCTCTGGAAAACTTTGTAATTTGGAGTTGGTCTAGTGATCATTTCCAGCCCTTCTCCCCGTACCTGGTTACAGAAATAAAACTCCTTTCTTTCCTAGCTCATTTGCATCTCGTTATTGGGCCATGAAAATAAGTAGCCCGACCCTCGGATTGGTCTGGGAACAATTTCATGGACGCCTTACTGCAATGCCAGAGTGACATTTTCATTTGTCATAAGTGTTGCTGTGTCTGTGCAAAGCTGAATTGTTTCTTTGGGTTGTTCTGTACCTGTCCTGGGGCACCTCACCGCCCGCCAGCTGGACCACGGTGGGGAACACGTCCATCAGACTTGTGGGCTCGCCAATCACTTGGCCGGCCGGGAGCACCCCGGGCCAGCGGAAGATCCCGGGCACGCGGATCCCACCTTCCCATCCTCCCATGCCCTTCCCACCTGTGTTTGAACACAGACAAAAGAAAGTGGTTAAAAAACAGAAACAGATGCTCAGCCTGGGTGCTTTTCTGCATGTTTCACTTGTTTTAAGTTTCTCTCCCTGAGTCTCTCAGTTTCTCTCTCTTTGTTTTAGTGACATTAAAACATTCAATCTCATGTAGTTCCCCTGTAGAGGTTTGATTTTATATTTTTTATTAACCTTGTTATTGGTTAGTGTGCATGGGATTAAGTTAGGTCCTTCACTGCAAATGACTGTTGTCCTTATAAGAGGAGACACAGACACAGAGCAGAAGGCCACGTGGAGACGGAGGCAGACTGGAGTGGTATGTCCACAAGCCCAGGGACACCTGGGGCCCCCAGGCGTTGGCAGAGGCAGAAAGGAGCCTCCCCTAGGGCTTCTGGAGGGCACATTTCCCTGAGACACCTTGATCTCAAACTCCTGGTCTCCAGGGCCAGGACAGGATAAATTCCTGTTGTTTAAACTGCCCCAGTTTATAATACTGACGTTCTTCATGGCACAGAGAACCAGACTGGGTAGAGGATACATTAACATCAATGGCAATGAGATAAAGGTTTCTGAGGAGTCAGGCCTTCAATGTGAAGTTGTTTTGGGAAGGCATCAGTGGATGTAGCTGGCATTTATATATCCCGTTTTACATGTGTACTAGACTGATGGATCCATCTACTTCAAAGCAAATATACATCATAGGTATATTTGCCAACATCAGCCTACAAACGTTCTTTCAAGGACTGAAAAATAAAGCTCTGTAAGCAGAGAGATGACAAAATGTGTAAGCACAACAGTGTGAAGTCATGTACACAGGGCAGCACATTTTAGAATCTTTGTGGGACATGAAATAATGGCGTGCTTGGAAACAATGGAATCCAGGTTTGAATATAATGTGGCCAGCTAGGTGTCTACCCTTCTTCCTTTTTTTTTTTTTTTGAGACAGAGTCGTACTCTGTCACCCAGGCGAGAGTACAGTGGCACAATCTCAGCTCACTACAACCTTCACCTCCCAGGTTCAAGCAATTCTCCTGCCTTAGCCTCCTTAGCTGGGATTACAGGCGTGTGCCACCACGCCTGGCTAATTTTTGTATTTTTAGTAAAGATGAGGTTTCACCATGTTGGCCAGGCTGGTCTCAAACTCCTGACCTCAAGTGATCTGCCTGCCTCGGTCTCCCAAAGTGCTGGGATTACAGGTGAGAGCCACTGCGCCTGGCCTTATCCTTCTTGGATGCATTGTCTGAAGGTAAAATTCAAACGTGAGTCCATACAATAGAATATATTCAGCCATGGAAAGGAATGAAACATTTCCACAACACAGATGAACCTCAGAAACATCACGCTAAGTAAAAGAAACCATTCACAAGAAAACCCACATATTGCATGATTTCATTTACATAAATGTCTAGAGTAGGAAAATACACAATGATACAAAATAATGTTGTGGCCAGGCATGGTGGCTTACGCCTGGAATCCCAGCACTTTGGGAGGCCCAGCTGGGAGCGCTGCTTGAGTTCAGGAGTTTCAGACCAGCCTGGGCAACATAACAAGACCCTATCTTTACAAAAAATAATTTAAAAAATTAAATAGTAAACAAACCAAAAATAAGTTTTTGGGTGATGGATGTTAGCACGGGGTACAGGGAGTGACAGCTATGAGTACAGGATTTTTTGTGAGGTGGTGAAATGTTCTGAAAATAAACAGTGGTGGGCCACATGATGATGGTTACACAACTTGATAATCTAAAAACTCCTTAATTATGCACAAAAACGTGGCAGGCCAGGCCTCACTAACGCAGGCCTCCGTAACAACTGTTTCAGCACTGACGGAGTGGTGAAGTTACATCTTAAAAGCTGAAACAACCAGTGCCCTTATGCAAAGGCTGGGATGTAACAAAAGACCCCCAAGAGTTTTGCCCAGGCCTCTCCTGGGCCTTGAAGCATGACAAGATAACAAAGGAATTCTTAGCAGGATCCGTTCAGGATTAAACAAGTTTTATTGGGGATCTGAAAAAACTCCCCAGACCTCCGTGATTTAGCAGGAGACAAGGTAAGGATAATCAGCTCTGGCACCTGGATCTATGTATTTATTTATTTATTTTATTATTTTTGTTGTTGTTGAGACGGAGACTTCCTCTATTGCTTAGGCTGGAGTGCAGTGGCACGATCTCAGCTCACCGCAACCTCCACCTCCCAGGTTCAAGCGATTCTCCTGCCTCAGTCTCCCGAGTAGCTGGGACTACAGGCGTGTGCCACCATACCCAGCTAATTTTTTTTGTCTTTTTTTTTTTTTTCCCTTTTTGTGGAGAACGGGGTCTCACTATATTACCCAGGCAGGTCTCGAACTCCTGGGCTCAAGCTATCCTCCCGCCTCTGCCTCCCTGAGAGCTGGGATTACAGGCGTGAGCCACCACACCTGGCCAACTAATTTTTGTATTTTTAGTAGAGACGAGGTTTCACCATGTGAGCCAGGTTGGTCTCAAATTCCCGACTTCAGGTGATCGGCCCGCCTTGGCTTCCCAAAGTGCTGGGATGACAGGCGTGAACCACCATGCCCAGCCACCTGGACCCATTGAGATGAAGTCAATTTACTGAGGCTCCAGAGGAAGGTCCTCAGGACTCAGACCTTAGTTACAGATGAGAAGAAGTGCATCGCTAATGTCTTTAGATGAATGCACACTTACACGTAGACATACAGCTTACAAGGTATAGAAGCTCTGGAGAACTTTGTAATTGTGAGTTGGTCAGGCAATAATGTCCAGGCCTCCTCCCTGTGACCGGTCACAGGAACAAACTCCCTCCTCTCCCAGGTCATCTGCATCTCAGTTTTGAACCACCAGAATAGCAGCCTGACCCTCAGTTTGGGCCAGGAACAAAAATTCAAGCTGGAGTATGTCGAATGATCACTTTTGCCCTGGAGAGGAAAATCACTGTCCTTGCGCAATAATACTGACCCTCCTGGAAGAGATGCCCTGTTGGGAATTGCGGGGAAGAGAGAAACTTGCAAGATGAGGATCTGGGAGCATCTTAGCCTCACCTTTATAAATTCCATTCCAGCCACCGTACTGGGTGTGTCCAAGCTGATTCTCTAGGGAACCCCCGTGATCTGATGTAAAATAAATGAGGGTGCTGTTGGTCAAACCTTCCATATCCAAAGTGTCAAGGATCTGTCCTGCAAAGAACAGATGTTTTTGAGGCCGTCAAAATAGAAAAATATCAGAAATGAAGCCCGAAGTGTATGCTTTAGTATTTGGAGGCTATCCACAAGAATGAATCCTTAGTTTTAACGCATAATGGAAGTCAGTTGTTTAATTTTGATATCATTTATTGGAGATTGATGTCTGACTTTATGTGCACCCCATCCTTTGCTCAGAATTTTAGGCAACCTACAAGGACAAAATATCAAAAACTTAAAAGTGCGGCATGTAGGCTGGGCGCAGTGGCTCACACCTGTAATCCCAGCACTTTAGAAGGTCAAGGCAGGAGGATCATTTGGGGTCAGGAGTTGGAGACCAGCCTGGCCAAGATGGTGAAACTACATCTCTACTAAAAATACAAAAATTACCTGGGCGTGGTAGCACATGCCTGTAGTACCAGCTACTTGGGAGGCTGAGGCAGGAGAATAGCTTGAACCCAGGAAGTGGAGATTGCCATAAGCCGAGATCACACCACTGCACTCCAGCCTGGGTGACAGAGTGAGACTTGGTCTCAAAAAAAAAAAAAGAAAAAAAAAAGAAAAAAAAAAGAAAAAAAAAAAAGTGAGGCATGTGAACATTCCAGAGAAGAAAGCATAGGCTGAAAATGCAGACCAGTCCTCAACAGTGATGCTGAGCTTCTTGCAGTCACACACGAGGGCACTCGTGTCATTAATGCCACTCACAGTTGGCCGGGCACAGTGCCTCATGCCTGAAATCTCAGCAATTTGAGAGGCTGAGGCAGGAGGCTAGTTGAGCCTGTGAGTTTAAGACCAGCCTGAACAACATAGCAAGAACTCGTCTCTACAAATAATAAAAAAATTAGCCAGGTGTGGTAGCGCACACCTGTGGTCCCAGGTACTGGGGAGGCTAAGGTGGGAGGATTGCTTGAGCCTGGGAGACTAGGGTGCAGTAAACCGTGGTTGCACCACTGCACTCCAGCCTGGGTAAGAGTGAGACCCTGTCGACTAGGCGCAGTGGCTCACGCCTGTAATCCCAGCACTTTGGGAGGCCGAGGCGGGCGGATCATGAGGTCAGCAGTTCGAGACCAGCCTGGCCAACATGGTGAAACCCCATCTCTACTAAAAATACAAAAATTAGCAAGGCATGGTGGCGGATGCCTGTAATCCCAGCTACTCCGGAGGCTGAGGCAGGAGAATCGCTTGAACCCGGGAGGCAGAGGTTGCAGTGAGCCAAGACCGTGCCATTGCACTCCAGCCTGGGCAACGGAGTGAGACACCATCTCAAAAAAAGAAAAAAAGAAAAAAAAAAGTGAGACTCTGTCACACACACACACAATTAACTTTTTGTCCTTCCTTGCCTATCTTGTTAAGGAAACAAAATGTTTTAAAAACACATCTTTCACCCAAATCTCTGACGGCAATTATTCTGAGGATCCTGGGATTCTCAAGCCCACCACCACCTAAACCCTAGGATTCCTAAGTTCTTTTTTGGGAGGCAGGGATGTGCTGTGCCCATATACAGGTACTCACCCAGCCCTGACTCACTCAAGCGATATTCCCCTTCCATCCTGTTCTAAACCCAGGAAATATGATGAGTGAATGAGGCAAAACAATCCAGACCCACAGGAGTTTACATTCTCCTGGGGGAACATGGAAAATCGACCCACCTAACACACGGTCATGAAGAGAAACAATGGCGGTGCTGTGTTAGGAAAAAAAGAAGAAAGAAGACAGAAGAAAGAAGAAGAAGAGGAAGAAGTGGAAGAGGAAGAAGAAGAAGGAGGAGGAGAAGGAGGAGAAGGAGAAGAAGGAGGATGAGGAGGAGGAGGAGAAATACGAAGAAGAAGAAGAACAAGAAGAAGAGTGGGAGGAGGAGAAAGGAGGAAGAGGAGGAGGAAAACAAAGGCAAAACAGAAAAGGACCATAGGAGAATGGGGGAGAAGATGATTGGGGAGGAGCTACGTTAGGGGTGAGTCAGGGCGGGCTCTGAAGAGGAGCCAGCGAAGCCTGAGGAAGCATTCCAGGAGGGAACAGCGGGTGTGGAAGCCCTGACAGGGGACAAATGTGAAAGATACTGTGTGGTGTCCACGTGGCCAGAATGCAGCAGGTGGGGAGGACAAAGGGACTGGGTGGAGATCAGACTAGGATCTGGGCAGCAGCAGGTCATGGGGCTTTCATAGGCGATAGGAGGAAATTTAGTCCTATTTTCAGTGCAGGGGAGCCACTAGCCACTCTACAGCAGAGAGGAATTTTCTCTGCGCTTTCTTTCATTTGTCTACCACATGACGATAGGATGTAGACATCTTTGGGGCCAAAATTCTGTATGCCACTTGGGAATTAAGACATGGAAATCTCTGAGGTCATTATTGTATCTAACACATGGGGATTAAGACGTGGACATCTTTGGAGTCATTATTCTGTCTTCCACATGGGAATTAGGATGTGGACATCTTTGGGGTCATTATTCTGTCTCCCACATGGGGATTAGAAAGTGGCTACCTTTGGGGCCATTTTTCTGTCTACCGTATCAAGATTAAGACGTGGACGTCTTTGCAGCCATTATTCTGTCTAGGGAGTGGACAGCTTTGGGGCTATCATTCTTTCTGCACATGGGATTAAGACGTGGACATCTTTGGTCGAATAGCAATGCCTTCCATGCACGTGTTATGGAATTCACTCTCTGCTAATGGAGTGAAGATCTGTCCTATAATATTTTGGACTCTTAAAATCCAGTCGCACTGCAATCGCTATTCTGCATCTTCTGTCTTTAAGCTTCTCGTTCTTTGTTTCCTTTCCTGCTTCTGTTGCGGGAGGGGAAGCAGCCCGTTTTCCCTGGAAGGGCACTTACCTACCATCCAGTCCATCTCCTCTACGTTGTCCCCATACAGCCCGTGGAGACTCTTCCCGAGGAAGTTCTCCATAGTGATAAGAGGGATGTGGACGTGCAAAAAGGAAACAAAGAGGAGGAAAGGCCCATGCTTATTCCTAGAAATAAATACAAAGCAATTAAGGTTACTTTTTTGGTAAAACAGAGATTGAAGTCCTGTAGATACTAAATATGGATCTCACTTGTCACATCCTTACTCAAATGTCTTCTCAACTCTGTTCACCAAAAAGAAACACTCAAAACTCTTCTTCAACAGAAAAATAATTCTTATGTTTAACAATATTCCTTTTTTTTGTTGTTATTTTAAAGACAGGGCCTTGCTCTGTTACCCAGGCTGCAGTGCAGTGACATGATCTCAGCTCACTGCAGCCTCAATCTCCCAGGCTCAAGTGATCCTCCCACCTCAGCCTCCCAAGTATCTGGGGCCACAGGCATGTGCTAACAGGCCCAGCTAATTTTTTTTTTTTTTTTTTTTTTTTTGGTAGAGACAGGGTCTCACTATGTTTACTAGGGTGGTCTTGAACTCCTCGGCTCACATGACCTGCTCCTGCCCATCTCAGCCTTCCAAAGTGCTGGATTACAGGCGTGAGCCACCATGCCTTTCTGGTCTGTTACCTCTCTCTCTCTCTTTTTCTTTTTTTTTGAGATGGATCCTGGCTCTGTCACCCAGGCTGGGGTGCAGTGGCATGATCTCAGCTTACTGCAACCTCTGCCTCCTGGGTTCAAGCAATTCTCCTGCCTCAGCCTCCCAAGTAGCTGGGATCACGGGCGTGCGCCACAACACCCATCCTGTTTAAGACTCATTAACATCATACATTTTCCCTTCCCTTCTGAAATCTATTTAAAAATCCACACTGGGCCAGGTGTGGTGGCTCACACCTGCAATCCCAGCATGTGGGGAGGCTGAGGCAGGAGCATTGCTTCAGCCTAGGAGTTAAAGACCAGCATGGGAAACAGCAAGATCCCATCTCTACTAAAAATACAAAAATTAGCGGGGTGTGGTGACATACACCTGTACTCCCAACTGCTCGGGAGGGTGGTGCGGGAGGATTGCTTGACCCTTGGAGGAGGAGGTTGCAGTGAGCTGAGATTGCGCCACTGCACTTCAGCCTCGACTACCGGAGTGAAATCCTCTCTCAAAATAAATAAATAAATAAATAAATAAATAAATAACCATACTGATTTAGTGCATCCTTTTCCCCCTGAATTTTATAATGTTCTAACTCTACATACGTAATGCAAAGTTAAAAGAACTGCAGGTTACTGTCTGACATGACTTTTATTTTGTTCACTTATTTCAATATATATTTTTGACCTCAAGCCTTAACTTATAGAATAAGTGGTGTTGCACATTCAATTTTCTTTATAATTGCTATCATGTAGTGAGGATTAGGACATAAAATAGTTATAAAAAGCACACTTTAAAAATGAGGCATACTGGGTTATTAATATTATTTTCATTGTCCTCCTTGAAAGTAGTGCTTTAGCTTCTCCCTCCCTTCACCTGGCCTTCATGGTCTAATCTAGATCCTTAAAGCATAAGAGCAATGGTGAAGGTGTTAGCCTTAATTAGAACACATCAGGCTGGGCATGGTGTCTCATGCCTGTAATCTCAGCACTTTGGGAGGCTGAGGCAGGAGGATAGGCTGAGCCCAGGAGTTCGAGACCAGCCTGGGCAACATAGCCAGATCCTGTCACATTAAAAATCAAAAAGAACGCAACAGTCTTACCTGCTTTAATTTGCAAGCTAATTGTCAATGTCCTTTCTGTCATACATTAGGTATTGCCATGAAGAACTCTCTAAGAGGCTGGATGCGGTGGCTCACGCCTGCAATCCCAGCACTTTGGGAAGCTGAGGTGGGTGGATCACTTGTGGTCAGGAGTTCAAGACCAGCCTGGCCAACATGGCAAAACCCGTCTCTACTAAAAATATGAAAGTTATCTGGGCATGGTGGTGCATGCCTGTAATCCCAGTTACTTGGAAGGCTGAGGGACGGGAATCGCTTGAACTCAGGAGCAGAGGTTGCAGTGAGCCAAGATTGTACCACTGCACTCCAGACTGGGTCACAGCTTGAGACTCTGTCTCAAAAAAAAAAAAAAAAAAAAAAAAAAAAAATATATATATATATATATCTCTAAGAATGTAGGAGATGATGACAACCTCACTGTCACCAGGTAAGATGACTTTTGATGGTATCACCATCTTTCCTAGAATGTCCTTGGGGAGCATGAAAATAGCTGTGCAGTGTTGAGAGCCCTTTTTGTCCTGTTTCTCCTGGTCCCGCACAGGAAGTCTCCCTGCCATACAGTTGACTGCGGGCTACGTTCTGCCATAAGACATCTGACTTCTGATGACAGACATTTTAAACATTTCTAATTTATTATAAAGGCCTTCGGGTGATGCAGTTTACTTAAATAGTGCCTGTGGTGATCCGAGGATGCCAATGGAGTAAGACTGACCCTAGAGTAACAGCAAATTCCAGCTGACCTGTAACAATTTCTTTTTGAGACAAGGCCTTGCTCTGTCACCCAGGCTACCTTCATAGCCTCACTACATAGCCTCAACCTCCTGGGCTCAAGTGATCCTCCTGCCTCAGCCTCCCAAGTAGCTGGGCCTACAAGTGCATGCCACCACAGCCAGCTAATTTTTAAAATTTTTGTAGAAATGGGGTCTTGCTGTGTTGTCCAGGCTGGTCCCTAACTTCTGGCCTCAAAATATCCTCTTTCCTCAGTCTCCCAAGTAGCTGGCATAACAGGTGTGTACCACTATACCCAGCTCAGCTGTAACAATGTTTTAATGGACACAAGGCAAGTCACAAGGCTCCACTGACCCTCATCTATGCCCCATTTTTACCAAAAAATTGTCCTTCTAGGTCATGGCTATCCCATTCTTCAAATGTCAATTAAAGAAGAGGCTTTTTTTTTTTTTTTTTTTTTGAGACAGGTTTTCCCTGTGTCACCCAGGCTGGAGTGCAGTGATGTGACCTCAACTCACTGCAACCTCCACCTCCCAGGTTCAAGTGATTCTCCCACCTCAGCCTCCAGAGTAGCTGGGATTACAGGCACGTACCACCACACTGGGCTAATTTTTGTATTTTTAGTAGAGATGGGGTTTCACCTTGTTGGCCAGGCTGGTCTCGAACTCCTGACCTCAGGTAATCCTCCCACCTCGGCCTCCGAAACAGCTGGGATTATAGGAATGAGCCACCATGCCTGACTGAAGAAGACTATTAGGATGCATTTTCATTCCAAAGCTGAGTGCTTGGAGGAAGCTGACACTTTTCTGCTGACCTTTTGAGAAAGGACGCGACCTCCTGCAGAATAAGGGGCGTCGTTTTTTGGAAGCGCATGGGCTGCTCCGTGATGGTGTGGTTCCTCATCAGCAAGCAGTCGGCATGGACAATCAGAGCACCCACAAAATAGGAGGCTGCGAGGAGGAGGACTGCCCAAAGGGCTGACCAGATGACCGGCGTCCACGAGACGGGTATCAGGTGTGTGAGCTTCCCTGCTACCAGTGTGAGGGCAACCAAGGCCAGGACTTGGAAGAGGAAGTTGAGTTTTTGTTCCAGGTTGACACGCTTCTCTGAGAGTTCCCAGCGGGCGCAATCACCCATCAAGGAGAAAGGCATTCCGTAGAAATGGTCAAAGCCATGGTGGAGGGGGTGGTGGCAATGATCGCTGGCGGACTCACAGTTCAGACCCAGATGCCATTTTCCTGAGAGGCAAAAAGGATGTTGATGTGACAAGCATCTGAGCACAACCGGACATGTCGATATTGACTGTTTGTTGCATTCCTGATACTCTGTTAGACACTGGGGGGCCGGGAGATTGCAGAGAAATGTGGGCAGCACTAGCTGTTACTTGCACCCCGCAATCTGGCCTCATCGTTTCAGGGAAGTAAGGACCCCGTGTGTCAGCTTTAACCAAAATATGAGTTACCTGTGACAGGTGGAACAAATTACTGTAAAACTGTTCACTTAATACAACAGAAATTTATCCTATCCCAGTCCTGGAGACCAGGAGTCTGAGATCGAAGTGTCTCCAGGCCACACTCGAATTGGAGGCTCTAGGGGAGGATCCTTCCTGCCTCTCCCAACTCCTGAGGGCTCCAGGCCTCCCTGGGCTTGTGGTCGCATCCCTCCAGTCTCCGTCTCCATGTTTCCATGGCGTTGTCCTCTGTGTGTGTCTGCGGCCTAATCTCTTGTCTTACAAGGACAGCAGTCTTTGCAGTAGGACCCACCGTAGAGACCTCATCTTTACTTGATTATATCTGCAATGACTGTTGTGAGCTGGATCCCGGCCTGCCTCAAATTCCTGAGTTGAAGCCCTAACACCCAGGACCTCAGAATGTGACTGTGTTTGGAGACAGGGTGTTCAAAGAGATAAGTAAGGTAAAATGAGGTCATTGGTTTGGCACTGATACAGTTTGGCTGTGTCCTCATGCAAATCTCACCTTGAATTGTAATAGTCCCTATGTGTCAAGGGTGGGGCCGGGTGGAGATAATTGAATCATGGAGGTGGTTTCCCCTATACTGTTCTCATGGTAGTGAATGAGTCTCACAAGATCTGATGGTTTTATAAATGGGAGTTCCCCTGCACATGCCCTCTTGCCTGCCGCCATGTAAGACATAGCTTTGCTTCTCCTTTGCCTTCCACCATGATTGTGAGGCCTCCCCAGGTTTGTGAAACTGGGAGTCCATTAAACCTCTTTTCTTGATAAATTACCCAGTCTTGGGCATGTCTTTATTAGCAGTGTGAGAACAGACTAATACAGGCCCTAATCTGATAGAACTTGTGTCTCACAGGAAGAGGATATTAGGGCACAGACACATGCATACTCTCTCCAGAGGCTTTAGGGAGGATCCTTCCTGCCTCTCCCAGCTGTCAGTGGCTCCAGCCATCCCTTGGCTTGTGGTCACATCACTTTAATCACACTGCTTTCTCCTCTCTGTGGCCCAATCTTCCTCTACCTCCATGTTAAATGAAGCCTTGTCCTTGCACAGTGGGCCCAGCTGGATAATTCAGGATCATTTTCTCACCTCAAGATCGTTCACTTAATCACATTTACAAAGACTCTTTTTGCATATAAGCTAATATTTGCTAGACTCAGAGGTTAGGGCCTGACATCTCTGGGGACCATTATTTAGTCTATTGCACCTTGTTCTGCAGTGCAATGATGAAGGCCAGAAAGCACCATATGATATCATCAGCATGGGTCAAAGGCTTCTGGGCTTTGGAATTGTCCTCTCTCTGAGAAACCACTATCATAGTGGCCATGGTTGAAGTCGGTGGTGGGCTTCGCAAGGCGCACCTTTCAAATTCAGTCCAAGCATAGTCTTTGCTTCCATGCGGCCACTACTATGGTGTTGACAAAGAGATGTCAACCACTCCAGTGCTGTCTGCCATCTGGAAAACCTCATGATTGCCCAATGAATATCCCATAAGGATAGACTCTTCTGTTTTAGAAAAATTACAGTTGGCCGGGCATGGTGGTTCACAACTATAATCCCAGTCCCTTGGGAGGCCGAGGTGAGAGGATTGCTTGAGCCCAGGATTGCTTGAGACCAGCCTGGGTAGCATGGGAAGACCCTGTCTCTACAAAAAAAATAGAAAAAATTAACCAGGCATGGTGGTGCAAGCCTGTAGTGCCAGCTGCTTGGGAGGCTAAGGTGGGAGGATCACTCAAGTCCAGGAGGTCAAGACTGCAGTGAGCCATAACCGCACCATTGCCCTCTAGCCTGAGTAACAGAGTGAGTACCCTGTCTCAAAAAAAAAAAAACATGTCTATTGGAAAAAATCCACCTTTGTTTGACAGTGATGACTGCATCTCCCCAGATTTTTTTTTTTTGGTAAAAAATTAAAGAACATTTTATAATTTTTAATTTTTAGAAATATATAATTTATTGAATTTTATATTCATTGTATCCACTAGTCATGTTGTTTGTTATCAATAAATGGAACTATTGATAAAAATCATTACTATAACACAATAATGATAATGGCAACTTGGTCTCCTCTCAAGGAACTATTGCCATTAATTTTGTTTTTCATCCAATACATAACATGCTTTGTTGACTTGTAGAAAAATAACCATGTTAATTATGGAAGCTGATAGGGAGGTATAATTCTAGTAGACATTTTCATACACACTGAAGGGAAAAATAGGTAGCATTACAGACCTTTTTGATAAAAGAATGTATTTTTTCTTATTTTTTTTATCATGGTCTATGAGAACATTGTGTGAGATGCCAAATATTTCATTAAGGTGATGTTCCTTTTCTTTCTTTCTTTTTCTTTTTTTGTAGAGACAGGGGTTTGCCATGCTGCCCAGGCTGGTCTCATACTCCTGGCCTCAAGCCATCCACCCACCTTGGCCTCCCAAAGTGCTGGGATTATAGGCATGAGCCACCGCGCCTGACCAGAGTCACTTTTGTAAGGGCACTAATCCCACATATGAGGCTCCACCTTCACGACCTCATCACCTCCCAAAGGCTTCACCTCCTGACTCCATTACCTGGGGGGTAAGAGTTTCAACACAGGAATTTTAGGGGGACACAAACATTTAGATCGCAGCACTAAACTAGCTAAATTGATCCATAAACCAACCATGAAAGAGCTGAAGGTGTTCAGTCTAAGACACTAATGTCTAAGACACAAAGTCCATGTGAAGGGCGGGAGAGGATCCCACAGAACAAAGAAGCGATTGCGTGTTGTGCAACGGAGCTTGGAGCGTATGCCATAGGCATGAGCACATTTTCTTTCTTTTTTAAATTTATTATTATAATTATTTTTTTGTAGAGGTGGGGTCTTGCTATGTTGCCCAGGTGGGTTTCAAACTTCTGGGCTCAAGCACTCTGTCCACCTTGGCCTCTCAAAGTACTGGGATTATAGGCATGAGCCACCTTGCCTGATCTGGTATTTCTTGAGTATCTACTTTGCAGTAAACAACCTGGAAAGTAACATGGTTCCTAGATATATGCAGCTTTCTGTCTAGTGGAAAATCCCACAGCACCTCACCCATTTTCCTTTCCAAACTTTTTAGCTGAATGTCCCTTCCACATAAAAGTCACGCGCTTACCACTTTAAAAAACGTACATACCTATGAGTCCAGTGGCATAGCCTTTCTCTTTCAATATTTTTGCAAAAGTTGTCTCATTTGTTGGAAGACCTCCAGATGCTCCAGTCCATTGAAGAACACGGTAACCAATGCTGGAAACCATCCCTTTGAGCAATTATTAAGAAAAAGAACTACTGTTATACATTTTTTTTTCTGTTTGTTATTTATTATTTATTTAAAAATAGAACGCTTGGTAAAAATCTCTCTTACTTAAAATTAAATTGAAAATGGACTTCCCATATGACTTTGCCTAGTGGATTGCATTTTTGGCAGCAAAGTAAATGATTAATTTGTTGAAAACGTTAGTGAGAAGATGGACTTTCCTGTTATGTGCAGGTTATAAGTAATATAATTCAGTGAAAAAGGAATGAAAACTTAAATGTTTTTTTTTGTGTTAATTAATTTATTTAGAGATGAGGTCTTGTTCTGTCGTCCAGGCTGGAATGCAGTGGTGTAATCAATGCCCACTGCAGTCTCGACCACCTGGGCTCAAACGAGCCTCCCACCTCAGTTACCTGAGTAGCTGGGACTACAGGTGCGCACCACCACACCTGGCTAATTTTAAAATTTTTTGCAGAGACAGGGTCTCACTCTGTCACCCAGAGTTGAGTGCAGTGGCATGACTATAGATCACTGCAGCCTTGAACTCCTGGGCTCAACTGATCCTCCCACCTCAGTCTCCCAAGCAGCTGGGACTATAGGGGCACACCACCATGCCTAGCTAATATTTTTAAATTTTTTGTAGAGATGGGATCTCACTATGTTGCCCAGGCTGGTCTTGAACTCCTAGACTCAAGTAAATCCTCCCACCTCAGCCTCCTAAAGTGTTGGGATTAGAGTCATGAGCCATTGTGCCTGACCTAAAAATGATTTTATAATTTCATCAAACTCTTGATATAATCCAAAGGTTCTCAAACTTGTCTGCCCATTGGAATCGTGTGGGGAGCTTCAAAATATTCTGATGGCTGGTTATCACCCCAGGGGTGCTAATTTTTATCAGTCTTGGGTGGAACTTGGGCTTTCGGATGGTAGGAATATCCTCTGGATGATTCTAACGTACTGACGAGGTTGGTAGCCACTGATAACATTTTATTCTGCTCTCTAGACATTCCAAATCTTTACCCAAGGGTTTGTTTGTATGTTTTGAGACAGCGTCTTGCTCTGTCACCCAGGCTGGAGTGCAATGGCGTGATCTCCGCTCACTGCAACCTCCACCTCCTGGGTTCAAGCAATTACCCTGCCTCAGCCTCCCAAGTAGCTGGGACTACAGGCACTCATCATCACACCCAGCTAATTTTTGTATTTTTAGTAGAGACGGGGTTTCCCCATGTTGGCCAGGCTGCTCTCGAACTCCTGACCTCAAGTGATCTGCCTGCCTCGGCCTCCCAAAGTGCTGGGATTATAGGCATGAGCCACCACACCCAGCCTCTACCCAAGTGTTTTAAAATGTAGGTGTGACGTATCATTATTATTATTAAAGTTTTATCATTATTTAGCTATGGCAAGGCCAACAGATCAGGAGATGACTGTCATTGGAGAGAGAGTTTATTACTCACAGTTCTTGATAGTTTATTACTCACAGTTCAAGAGGAGGCAGGGGTGAGCCATGCTGTGTGATTATATGGGGAAGCTTCAGGGTTGGTCAGGAGGCAGAGGGAGTGAGGGGAAAGCATGGAAAAAGCCTTTCTTATTTATTGTTTTTCTTTTTTGGAAAGTAATTGGCAAGGTAGGGTAAGTCGGCTTAAGACTGGCCAGTTTGTACAATTTCCGTGGGCTTTCATCTGTGGGGGCTGTCCCTAGAAAGCTGGTACCTGATTCTGGGGGGATTAGGGCAAAGAGAGAGTGGCCCCATATATGAAAACCTCATAAAGGTGATGGTTAGGGGTGTGTGCTCTGGATTGATTGGTTTATCTATGAAAGGTGCACCCCCAAGTGACTTGTTTGCGGTCTCTAAGAACTGGCTAGCCCTGGGAGGGCCAGTCCTGCCAAGGTCAGCAAAGCCCTAAGACGTCAAAGCATCAGAATATAAAAGCTGCCTGGGCACGGTGGCTCACGCCTGTAATCCCAGCACTCTGGGAGGTCAAGGAAGGGGGATCTTTTGAGCCCAGCATTTCAAGATCAGTATGGGCAAGATAGAGAGAGACACTCCCGCCCCACCAATCTCTATTTAAATTAAAAATAAAAAAACTAATAAAAAAACCAAAATGTAAAAACTAAAAACTATGATGAATACACCAGGCTGCACCCTAGTGCAGTTGTAAGAGAGACTAACCTGATCGAACAGGGTATCTGCCCGTGAGGAAGGCAGCTCTGCTTGGGGTGCACAGAGATGCGGCAGAGATGTGCTGGGTCAGCTTCACGCCGTCCTCTGCAAGGCGGTCAATATTTGGAGTCCTATGGAGGGACAAATCAACAGCTTTACTTGTTAAAATTAGACAGGATTTTCATAAGCACAGCTACATGCTACTTAATAGAAGGTCTGCTGGTCGTTGTAGAGCGCTTCAAGATGTTCTTAGGAATGACCTAAAAGTAATGTCAAAGATTTCTAATGTTTTCTGAACCTTCAAGGAAACATCAACTCATTTAAATAGAAGTGAGTGGCTGGACGCAGTGGCTCATGCCTGTAATCCTAGCACTTCGGAAAGCCAAGGCAGGAGGATTGTTTGGGGCCAGGAGTTCAAGACCAGCCGGGCCAACATGGCGAGACCCTGTCTCTACAAAAAAAAACCTACAAAAATAGAAAAATTAGCCAGGAATGGTGGCGCATGTCTGTAGAACCAGCTACTTGGGAGACTGAGGAAGGAGGATTGTTTGAGCTCAGGAGTTCGAGGCTGCAGTGAGCTGTGATTGCAACACTGTACTTCAGCCTGGGTGACGGAGAGACAACCTGTCTCTGAAATAAATAAATGAATGAGTAGATAGAGTGACTAAGTTTCCATAAGGCACTATTGGTACTGAGAGAGCAACCTCAGAGGGAATGCAGAACTGAGAGCCCAGGGCACCTTCTTCGGGACTTACAGTGTTCATGAGAAGGTTTGACTTCATGGACGCCAACACACTGTAAGTGCTACATGAGGGTGGAAGGCTGGAATTCAGACAGGAGGATGGACTAGCTCTAGCTCATGACAGATGGACACACCAGATTTTGGCATTAAGGGGGTGTGGACCTTCCTAATGAAAAGCAGAGCTTTTCAGCAGGGAGGATTGAAATCCCGCGTAAGTGCTGGGCTTGGCTAGATGGATAGGGTTGGGAGTGAGATGGAGATCAATATTGGTCTTCCGCTTACAGGCAACGACACTGATGTCTTCTGTATGTTTGTTTATTTGTTTGTATTTTGAGACTGAGTCTCACTCGGTTGCCCAGGCTGGAGTGCAGTGGCACTATTTGAGGCTCACTACAACCTCTCCCTCCCGGGTTCACGTGATTCTCCTGCCTCAGCCTCCCAAGTAGCTGGGATTACAGGTGCCTGCCACCACTCCCAGCTAATTTTTGTGTTTTTAGTAGAGACGGGGGTTTCACCATGTTGGCCAGGCTGGTCTTGAACTCCTGACCTCCAAGTGATCAGCCTGCCTTCGCCTCCCAAAGTGCTGGGATTACAGGCGTGAGCCACCATGGTCAGCCTGTTTATGTTTTGAAACAGGGTCTCACTCTGCTGCCCAGAGCGCAGTGGTCTGATCACAGCTCACTGCAACCTCAAACTCCGGGGCTCAAGTGATCCTCCCACACCTCACCCTCTTGAATAGCTAGGATTACAGGTGCATCCACCATGCCTGGCTAATTTTTTTTTAATTAAAAAAATTAAAATGTGCTGGGAGTGGTGACTCACATCTGTAATCCCAGCACTTTGGGAGGCTGAGGCAGGCGGATCACGAGGTCAGGAGATCGAGACCATCCTGGCTAACATGGTGAAACCACGTCTCTACTAAAAATACAAACAAATTAGGGGGGCATGGTGGCGGGCACCTGTAGTCCCAGCTACTCGGGAGGCTGAGGCAGGAGAATGGCATGAACCCAGGAGATGGAGCTGGCAGTGAGCCAAGATCGTGCCACTACACTCCAGCCTGGGTGACAGAGCAAGACTCCATCTCAAACAACAAAAAAGTTAATGTTTATATTTTGTAGATGTAGGATTTCACTGTTTCCTAGGCTGGTCTTGAACTCCTGGCCTTCAGTCATCCTCCTGCCTCAGCCTCCCAAAGAGCTGGGATTACACTCATGCCCGGCTGATAGCATTTCCAAAGCATTGTCCATTATGTACTGGGTGGATAAAAATCATATTTAAAAAATGAAACGAGGACGGGCACAGTGGCTCACACCTGTAGTCCCAGCACTTTGGGAGGCTGAAGCGGGTGGATCACTTGAGGCCAGGAGTTCAAGACCAGCCTGGCCAATATGGCAAACCCCGTCTCTACTGAAAATACAAAAATTATCCAGGCGCGGTGGCGGGCGCCTGTCATCCCGGCTACTCTGGAGGCTGAGGCAGGAGAATCACTGGAATCCTGGAGGCGGAGGTTGTAGTGAGCCGAGATGGCGCCACTGCACTCCAGCCTGGGCAACACAGTGAGACTCTCTCAAAAAAAAAAAAAAGAAAAAAAGAAAAGAAATGAGGCCAGGTATGGTGGCTTACATCTGCAATACCAGCACTTTGGGAGGCTAAGGCGTGTGGATCACTTGAGCCCAGAAGTTGGAGACCAGCCTGGGCAACATGGCAAAACTCCACCTCCATAAGAAATTTAAAAATTACCCAAGCATGATGGTGGGCACCTGCAGTCCCAGAATTACTCGGGAGGCTGAGGCAGGAGGATCACTTGAACCTGGGAGGTCGAGGCTGCAGTGAGCTGTGATTGTACCAGTGCAATCCAGCCTGGACCACAGAGCAAGACTTTATCTCAGAGAAAAATAAAAATAAATAAATAAATAAAATAAAAATAAAAATGAAATGAGCAGTCATATGTAGGATGGATTGAGGTGGGGTTAGTGCTGGCGTGGGAAGAAAGTAACATTAGGGAGTGTTAGAAAACGCAGAAGTGCAGAACTCTTGAAGTGTGAACTGCCAAGATCAAGGGTTATATGCATTTTCAGTGGCTTCTCTTTCTTCTGGTGTCTGCACTGGGGGCACCAGGTGAGTAATTCTCTGTCCCTTGCCTCATGGTGTTGTTGCCATAGCAGCCAATGTCCCCGATGCCGAGGTCGTCTGCCATCAGAAGAAGGATGTTCGGTCGGGAGGTGGAAATGTTGCTGGAAGCTGATGGCGCCAAACCTAGCAGCACAGACAGCATCCCAGCCAGCCAGCTCCTGAAACACAACCTGTCAGAGACTGCATCACGCTCCTGTCCATCTCGCTTGCAGAACTTGTGTATGGGGGAAGTTGGCATCACTATGTTAAGAGGTATTGATATTATCATCACATTTCAGAATAGCTTTGAGGACATCTCTTAGGCATTTGATTGTTTTTCTCTGGTTACAATTAACTGATACTGCTGATGACTTTATTTGGCCTTTAAGTGTTTGTTTTTGGATGCTCTAAAGTCTGTTGTTTTAAACTCACGATTAACAGAAAGCCTTGGTGGGGTGCAGTGGCTCACTCCTGTAAGCTCAGTATCTTGTGAGGCCGCAGCGGGTGGATTGCTTTAGCACAGGAGTTCAAGACTAGCCTGCGCAACATGGTGAAAACTCATCTCTACAAGAAATACAAAACTTAGCTGGGTGGGCATGTGCCTGTAGTCCCAACTACGGCAAAGGCTGAGGTGGGAGGATTGCTTGAGCCTGGGAGGTTGAGGCTGCAACGAGCTGAGATCGCAACACTGCAGGGCAACAGAGCAAAGCTGTCTCAAAACTACAGCAACAGCAACCATAAAAAGCAGAAACAGACAGAAAGCCTGCCTTAGTCATGGTTTCTTGGATGGATCCGGTCCCCAGAATAGCTATTGTCCCTTCTCCGTTGCCTCTTCTTCATTGTTCTTCCTTAAGCAAATTGTGTTGAATATAGGGAATGGGGGCTGGGGTTAGGGGTTGGACCACCCAGCAGAGCAAGGAAGAGACACAAGCTTGGGGCAAGGTGAGCCCACAGTGAGCTGCTACTTCTGAGTCTATGAAAACCCTCTGTGCATTGCAGCACGCAGATGAAAATACCCAGGACTGACTTCTTTAGCCCACTGGTATCTGATGAGAAGTGGGTTTGGAGGTGAAGGAGGTTCTAGCCTGGAGGAGAAAGCCCTGGTAGTTGCGTACCCTGAGGGAGCATTTCCACAGGGCTTGGTGACATACAGCCTGCCACTATCATTGCTGCCTCTTTCATCGATGCCACCCTGGGACTGCATGTGGACAGCAGGGCCATAGTGTCCCAATCCCCAGTGGGATGCAGTCAAGATGTAATCTGAGTCTCCAAGAAGATTTGCAGTAGGGGAAACCCTGATTTTCCCTGGAAAACCAGACACCTGGCCGATGGTAGAGGTTGATGCCCACCTGATTTGCAAAGAATTAAATACAATTCCCTCTGAGGCTGCCTGGGACAACATCAGATCAAGGGAGCATGGAGCACATCTATTAATCGTGGGTCTCATGCTTCATTCTCCAGATGCAGGATCAATCACTATCAGTGCATTCTGAGAAGGAACCATCAAGAGATCCAGAAGTGGTCAGGCGTGGTGGCTCATGCCCATTATCCAAGCACGTTGGGAGGCCAAGGCGGTAGCATCACCTGAGCCCAGGTGTTCAAGACCAGCTTGGGCAACATGGTGAGACCCTGTTTCTATATAAGAAAGGAAAAAAACATAAGAAGAAAAGGAAGGAAGGAAGGAAGGAAGGAAGGAAGGAAGGAAGGAAGGAAGGAAGGCTGTCATATAAGAAAGGAAAACATAAGCAAAGAAAAAGGAAGAATGGAATGAACAAATGAAGGAACAGCCGAAATAAAACAAGGAAGGAAGGAAGGAAGGAAGGAAGGAAGGAAGGAAGGAAGGAAGGGAAAGAAAGAAAGAGAGAGAGAAAGAAAGAAAGAGAGAGAGAGAGAGAGAGAGAGAGAGAAAGAAGACTACTAATGAGTGCATATAATTGTATCTTACCAAGAATGGTGCAGATGTAACATGTTGTCTCTATCTCTACTTCCTGTAAGACATAAAGATGTCCACAATCACATTGACAGCAGAAATTGAACTGATTATAAATAAAACAGTAAGTCATTAGAAAGGGGAACTTTGATTCCCGTTCATGATATCAATAGCAAAAATATCTTAAAACAATGACCAAAATGTCATAAAGGAATGCTCTTCCTGAGTGAAAAGGCTTCGAAATGTTTAATACTATGTTAAGAATGTAAAGCATGTTTCAATACACAGCCAGATGGAGTCTTCAGAGAAAGAGGAGGAAAGTGGTCACAGGGTCTCCATCCCCTTTACCAGCTTTCATAGCCCATGAGTGACGTGGTCAGGGCAGAAGATCGCCAAGTGAGGAGAGAATCCCAGTGTCCGGAAGCAGCTTCTTTTGTCTTCTGCTTCCTGAGCCCAGGGCGAGGGTGATTGCTAATGTCCAGAAACGCAGAGAGAGTCCTGATTTGGAAGGGGGAAGCGGGGCAAGATCAAAGCTTGGATGATACACGAAAGAATCTGAGTAGAGGGTATGAAGATCAGAAATACAATGAGAGGCTGGGCGTGGTGGCTCATGCCTGTAATCCCAGCACTTTGGGAGGCGGCAGTGGGAGGATTGCTTGAGCTCAGGAGGTGCGGACTTGAAAACAGAACTGGGAGTGTCAGTGTGAAGGAAAAAGACCGAGAGGACTCTGCAGGCACTGAGTGCTGCATGGAGAGACGCATTCGCCTTCTTTGCTGGGGGCAGGTGCTGCAGGAAGACGGGGCGACCATTGCCCACACTTGGAAATGTTCTGTCGACGGAGGGAAACGGGCGATCCCAAAGCACAGAGGGGCGGCCCCACAGTCTCTCCAAAAAGTGAGGGAGAGCCCAGGGTGTAGAGCCCAGGGTGTAGAGCAGGAAAGGAATGAGATGGAAGATAACAATTAGAGTTGCAGACAGCAAGAGGTCACCTTCAGGGTACTGCAGTGGTCTCACCCCATGTGGCTTGTGCATGGGACTGAGGACAAAGCTCGGATTTTTCTTTTTATCTTGCCCGAATTCCTATCTAAGGGGTCTGGAGAGTCGTGCACTACAAGCCATAAATTCTCATCAGAAGGGTTTCATTTCACTATATATCGTGACTTACTTTCCAATCTGACTCTGGCATAACATGGGACAATTAAGAAAATCCAAACATTTTACCCCAAAACATGTTTCTTTGCCATATCTTGGAATGGTGCTGTAAAGCTGTCCTTTGTGGGGAAAAATTTGCATCTGTAAAGATGTAAATAATTTCTATTCACATAGAGATTCACATCTTTTTCTTCCAGACCTTTCCAATCCTGAAAAGATTAACTAAGACTCTAGAACCTTGTAAAGATCTGAATAGTATCATCTAGTGTCTCTGAGGGCAGCCACTATAAGACTCCAGAAGAACCTTGGTCTCCACAATCTTTTATCTTAACCTGAACATTTCTTTTCTAGGGATCCCAGGTTTGTTTGTTTGTTTGTTTTTCTTTTTTGAGACAGAGTCTCGCTCTGTTGCCCAGGCTGGAGTGCAATGGCGCGATCTTGGCTCACTGCAAGCTCCGCCTCCCGGGTTCAAGTGATTCTCCTGCCTCAGCCTCCTAGGATCCCAGGTCTTTAGACGAACTCAACCAATTGTCAACCAGGAAATGTTTAAATCTATGTATAAGCTGGAAGTCCCCTGGCTTTGACTTGTTCCACCTTTCTGAACCAAACCACTGTATTTCTTAAATGTATTTGATTGCTGTCTCATGCCTCCCTAAAATGTATAAAACCAAGCTGCACCCCGATCACCTTGGGCACATGTTCTCAGGACCCCCTGAAGACTGTGTCATGGGTCATGATCATTCCTATTTGGCTCAGAATAAATCTCTTCAAATATTCTACAGAGTTCGCTTCTTTTCGTTGAGTGGACGTGGGCATGCCTAGAAGATAAAGAGACAGGAGCATGCAGATGTGTTGGGTTTCTGCCTCTGAGTAGCCAGGGGAGTGACCTGGCCACTTTTGGAAGGGCCGAGCGGCCAGTGAGTGAGGACACACTGGAGCCAGCAGGCACTGAGAGCCTAGAAGTGGCCATGGTGGCTGTCCAGGTGAAACCTGACCAAGGATAGACACAGCTGGTGTGGGAGCAGGGAGGGCAGAAAGGAGGGGTGGGCAAGGTCCGAAGGGTTGCAAAACCCCAGGGTGTGAGTGGGAGAGAAGCCATTGGTTGAGGGATTTCCCCTCATCGCCTTTTAGGGGATGCTGGGAGGGGTGTTTGCTCCTAGCAGGATTCAGGGACAAAACCAGTCTTCTGAGAAAGACAATGAGCTTTCTGAAAGGAAAATAAATCTTGAGGCCCGCAAGTCACTAAGCTAAAGCTAAAAGTCAAGCTGGGAACTGCCTAGGGCCTCTGCCTCCCATTCTAGTCAAAGTCACCCCTCTGCTCACTGAGATGACACGTATCTGATGGCCTCCTTTGGAAAGGCTCATCAGAAACTCAAAAGAAGGCAACTGTTCCTCTCTCACCCGGTCTGTGACCTGGAAGCTCCCTCCCTGCTGACAGTCTTCCTGCCTTTGCTTCAAGCTGTCCCACCTTTCCAGACCGAACCAGTGTGCTTCTTACATTATTGATGGATGTCTAACACTGAATTGCTACATCTCCAGTAATTTTCTGTCTGTTGAAGAGAAAAAGAACTCAGATATCATTTGTGCTTTGTTTAGAACACAGAAGGAAGGGATAAGGTGTACGCCCTGCTCGTGAGGTTTTTTTGTTTGTTTGTTTGTTTTACCCTAGAGAGCACACACAATTCTCATATTCTAAAAGCAATAGCAAAAGACGCAATTACTTTTCACCAACCTAATGGCACCTCCACCACCGGGAAAGAGATTGATTTAAAATTGTACGTAGAGAGAAAACCAAAATGAGCATTTTAACACCCTCAGCTTTGCTTTCTGACCTACAACGCCACGCTGCCGATGGCCAGAAAACTGAATAGAAGCAAAATACTGTACAAATGTAATGAGAAAACCCCAAACCACCACCCAATAGGGGAAGACGGTTTGCAGCAATCCTGCCCAGCAGCGGTTTCTCTCTGGGTGTGGAGATTTAGTTAAAGTGTTCTTTTTCTAATTTTTCTTTTCTTTTCCTTTTTTTTTTTTTTTTTTTTTGAGATAGGGTCTTGCTGTCTCACCTAGACTGGAGAGCAGTGGTGCGATCATAGTTCCCTGCAGCCTCAAATTCTTGGGCTCAAGCGATCCTCCCACCTCAGCCTCCCAAGTAGCTGAAACTACAGGCACCTGCCACTATGCCTGGTTATTGATTTTTTTTTTTTTTAAAGTAGAGGTGGGATTTCCTCTTTTGCTCAGGCTGGTCTCAAACTCCTGGGCTCAAGCGATCCACCCGCCTCGACCTCCCAAAGTACTGGGATTACAGATTTTAGCCACCGTGCTCGACCTAATTTTTCTTTCTTCCACAATGTTATGTATTTATAAGTAAAAAGATGAAATTTTTTCTTGGAGAAAAACGTTAAGTAAATAAAGAGATGGTGATAAAAGCCTTGAATGAGTTTAATTTTGGAAGCTGTGACATTGAGGTGACCCAGAGCCTGGGGCCTGCCCAAGGCCTCTCCTGCAGATTAGAAAACAAATCCCCTTTCTCCAGGAAAGAGCTACATTCCTAGGCCTGTAAGTCACTGGTACGCTTCTGCTTTATAAAAACAAACTGGGCAATTATTCAGAGACAGAAAAGGGAACGGGGAACTCTTTGTTCACCACACTACCTGGGGCTGGAGCCCCATTCCAGCACAAACGAAGCTTCACAGGACTCACCTCTGCTCCTGGGTTCCCTCCTGAACCCCCGATCAAGAAGAGGAAGGTTCTCTTCCAAAGGAAGCAAGCGTGAAGGCAGAGAGCACTCCCACAAGGCTTTGAGCTGGGAATGATTGACTTCGAGTTTGTTTTTCCCATGTCAGAAGATCAGAGAGAGTGAGGACAGACCGAGCGAGCACAGACTCCCCCCACATCACAGCATGGGGAAGTCTCAAAGCCACGCCCACGTCTACCAATCCAGTGGTCGGTTTCCTTAGGTTTTTATTTTGTTTTATTTTTTGTAGAGACAGGGTTTCGCTATGTGGCCCAGGCTGGTCTCAAAGTCCTGAGCCCAAGTGATCTGTCCTCTTTGGCCTCCTGAAGTGCTGGGATTACAGGCGTGAGCCACCACGCTCTGCCAGTGTCCTTAGGTTTTTAAGTGACTGCCTATGCTGTTACACAGGGTGCTTGCTATAATATGATCATATCCAGCCTGGCATGGTGGCTCATGCCTGTAATCCCAGCGCTTTGGGAGGATGAGGCAGGAAGACTGCTTGAGGCCAGGAGTTTCAGAGCAGCCTGGGCAGCAAAGTGAGATGCTGTCTCTTCAAAAATAAAAAAAAATTAGGCTGGGCATTGTGGCTCATGCCTGTAATCCTAGCACTTGGGAAGGTGGAGGCAGGAGGATTGCTTGAGCCCAGGACTTGGAGACCAGCCCAGGCATCATAGCAAGACCCTGTCTCTACAAATAATAAAACAATTAGCCAGGCACGGTGGCATGTGTCTCTAGTCCCAGCTACTCAGGAGGCTGAGGTGGAAAGATTGATCCTGGGAGGTTGAAGCTGCAGTTTCACTCTAGCCTGAGTAAAGACCCGGCCTCAAAAAAAATTGTTTTTCAAGAAGTTATTTGTTTAGTGGTAAATGAAGTAAATAAAAAATAATAAAGATAAGATAAAAAAGAAAAAAATTTTTTTAAGTAAACAAACAAACAAAGAAGTAAAAAGGCCAGGCACAGTGGCTCATGCCTGTAATTCCAGCACTTTGGGAAGATGAGGTGGGCCGATCACTTGAGCCCAAGAGCTCGAGACCAGCCTGGCCAACATGGTGAAACCCTGTCTCTACTGAAAATACAAAAATTAGCCAGGCATGGTGTTGCATGCCTGTAATCCCAGCTACTCGGGAAGCTGAGGCAAGAGAATTGCTTGAACCTGGGAGTTGGAGGTTGCAGTGAGGCGAGATCGCAGCATTGCCCTCCAGCCTGGGCAACGGAGAGAGACTCTGTCTCAATAATAATAATAATAATAATAATAATAATAATAATAATAATAAACACAAGATAAAAAGAAAAAAAAGAAAAAAAAAAAGTGAAAAAATGATTATTTTCAAGCAATGCTTGATTTTAAAACCGAAAAGATGGGCTGGGCACGGTGGCTCACGCCTGTAATCCCAGCACTTTGGGAGGCGGAGGCGGGCAGATCACCTGAGGTCAGGAGTTTGAGACCAGCCTGGCCAACATGGAAAAACCCCATCTCTACTAAAAATACAAAAATTAGCTGGGTGTGGTGGCATGCACCTGTAATCCCAGCTACTTGGGAGGCTGAATAGGAGAACTGAACCCAGGAGGTGGAGGTTGCAGTGAGCTGAGATTGTGCCACTGCACTCCAGCCTGGGCGACAGAGTGAGACTCCATCTCAAAAAAGAAAAGAAAAGACAAGACAAGATCAAGGGGGCAGGCAGCAGTTTCTGAGGCACTGCATGATCATTGTGGGGAAGCTACTCTATGGAATGGAACCCTACACAACGGTCCCTATTATTCAACCATCCTTGACCTACAAGGACGGGGTTCCATAGAGTTCCACCTGCTGTCTCTTCACAGCTTCACATGCAGCCACATGCTGGGTCTGTGAAAAGTCACACAGGCCGCCTGACCTCACTTCCTCCTGACGTGGCTGTGGAAACCACCCTGCTTCCGGGATGAGGAGCTGAAACGCTGGCACGCTCCGGCCTCACTCATTTTTACGAGTAAACGGTTTTGATGGCATGTCTCCAAATGAGTATTAGGAGGGGTGTCAGAAACGTGTTCGTTTCCTGCCACAGGTGTGTGCCCTAATGGTAATTGCTTTTACTTTGTGATTTTTGGCAACAAATCTTAAGTCATTTCCTCGTAGGGGGCCTAAAGGGATATTTTCATCTATATTTCAATTTATATATTCATATTTATTACATATAATATATTATAACTTTTGTATATCATACATAGTATAAATGTATGTAAAATGTGTAAATAAGGCTGGGCATGGTGGCTCACGCCTATAATCCCAGCACTTTGGGAGGCGGAGGTGGGAGGATTGCTTGAGCCCAGGTGTTCAAGATCAGTCTGAGCAACAAAGTGAGATCCTATCTCTAGAAAAAAAATCCAATAATAATAATAAAATAAAATTTATAAATATAATATATAATATATAAATATATAATAAAGCATAATTTTTCTTTATTAAAATATGCATGTTTTTCTTTATAAAAATAATATATACTTTAAAATATATATGTACATATATGTATAGATACATAAAATATGTACATGTATGTACACATATACATAAAATACATGTTATAAAATGCACATATAAATATAAACATAAAACATATGTAAACATGTAGATATAGACATCTATATCCATGTTTATATGTTCACGTCTTTTTATATATGTACATGCATATAATGTATATATGTACATGGATGTATATATAACATACATATATACATAACATATATACATATAAAGCATGTACATCTATACATTAATATATGTACATTTTTAAATAAAATGTTTATATGTGTATGTATAGTACATATACACATATAAAACAAGTACATGTATACATATAACATACATATGTATATGATTTTTCGAGGAAAAAGCATATTAAGGGCTGCTTCTGACTTGCCTGGGGAACATGGTTCTGTTTGTTTTATCTGGCTGGTTATATTGGTGTCTAAATATGGGACCCTCAATCATGGTTGAACAGTCGTATGACGTACGGTTATGTATCAAGTCTGGGCCTACCTCTGAAGTGATGTATTTATGTATTTAGCGACACAATAAAAGCAGATTTTTCTTTTCCAAAGAACTCTGCACTTTAACCCTTAGAATGTTAACCATTTTGGTCCAGATTGAGTTTTTACTACTGAATAAGATTTTCTATTGTTTCATTTTAAAGATACAAGATATCTTTAGAAAGAGACAGGAGGCTGGGCGCGGTGGCTCACGCTTGTAATCTCAGCCGGCACACTCTGGCCTTTGGGAGGCCGAGGTGGGAAGATCACTTGAGGCCAGGAGTTTGAGACCAGCATGGATAACATGGCAAGATCCTGTCTCAATTTAAAATAAAACAAAATAATAAAATATAGACTACAATAAAATATAATACAATACAATACAAATAAAGACAAAAGAAAAAGACGAGGAAACGCCCATGCGAGACTGACAATGTAGCCTTTGATTCTCTTCCAGGGAGACGGAATCACAACCCGCCTTTCCCGCCCTGATCTCCAGCCCCGGGCTGCGAGCCTGTGTTCAGCGTTTTGCCTGGGCCCTGTTCCCAAACCCAGTTTCGCTTTTCACCTCCAGTATCTCCTCAATGTTCAGTGCATGTGCCTTCAGCAGCGCTAAGATAAGAATCTCGTGTGGATGCCATGTCTCCCATTTGGTATATCTTCCCTTGTTGCTTTTTCTTACGCATTACGTTTCGAAATCTCCCATGTAAAATCTGTTCTTGATATTTGCACTGATTATTATCATTATTATTTTGAAAGGAAATTACTTTGAAAACACTGACAGGGACTTGTTTGAAAAGACGCAGTTTGGCACAAAAGAATACGCCCTGGAGCGTCTCTGCACGTGCAAAAGCCGGCCTGTGAGAAGAAGCCCAAGGAAGGCCAGTTACCTGAGATGCAGTTGTGTCAGAGCGACAGCGGCTGGATTCAGCAGGGAGGCTGTTCCTTGGAAGAAACGTCTTCTGCTTGCCAAAACCGACACGCACAGGCTGTCTCGGCAGCACCGAACGGCTGGCTCACGCATGTGCGTAGCTGATTCACTCTGAAAAGCAGCAACAGGAATTCCGCAGAAACCAAGTTAGGTTGTCCCAGGAACAGATCAGGCAAGTCCCCTAGGAATGTACTGCTGGCTCTTTCAGGCGTCCACAAAAGACCTTCTGTTCTATTTGCAGAACCTCACTCTCAGGGAAGGAGCCCAGACATCTGGTGCTGAACACGGAGTTTTTCAATGGCAGGAAGGTGGAACCCCTTCTGGCTTTTGATCTAGACAGAGTGCATTTTCCAAGATGGAAAAGTGCTTCTCTTGAAATTCATCTTGAATAATCACTCCATAGCCCTTAAATTTCATGCCTTTTTCTTTCCTTTTGCTATTTGCCTCAAACAGAAAAAGAAGACAGAAAACGATTCAGGTTACACTTGCAACTATGGCTGTGTGTACATAGCCGCAACTATTACCGTATGTATACAGCTGCTGACCCATGTGACTCTGTCACTATCACTTCTGTTCAGCTCTGGGCACCAGTGTGTGTTCTCATCGATTTGCCAGGGAGCGCCATTTCTTTTTTCATATTGAGGCAGAGCATACATTGCAGGCAACGTTAGATGTAAAATGAATCACTTCAAGGACTTTTTTTCAAATAAGAGCTGTCTGCACACTTCTACGTCTTGACTCACAAAAATATTCATCCTAATGCATTTATAGTCTCCACAGCCTGAACATTGCAGAGTTTTGATTTGAGACCCCCGCTTGCCAAATAAGCCCTCTTACAAATCGGTAGCTGCATACCTTCTTTGTGAGTTTGGCACATGAGAAAGAACAAAGCACAGGCTCCGTGGGCTGAAGAACACCTAGCTCTCTAGGCCAAGTCTGCTAGACTATGTTGCTCTTCAGGGAAGGCTGTCAACACTCGTACGGTTACTTTTTGCACAAGTTGAACATCAAGGAGATAAAACCAGGATCCAAACTAGAACTCCCAGGTTACCTGACCTTCAGCCTGACTTTCTGTGTTCTGGGATGAGGCATGGTTACGCCACTACCCTACTATTGACATTTGAGGAGGACGATTCTTTATTGGAGGGGCCGTCCTGTAGAATGTTGAAAAACATCCCTGGGCTCCACTCCCTAGAAGCAGGTAGTGACCACCACCTTCTCCCCAGCTGGGACAACCAGAAATATCTCCAGTCATGGCACAGTGTCTCCCAGGGTGCAGAATCACTCGGGTTGAAAACACTGGTGTTAAGGACGTACTTTGCAGATGACTGGAGAACACTTAATTACGATCATGCTGGGTAAGCAATTTCCATTTCTTTCTCATACTCCCGTGTCCTTCAGAGCTGGTAGCAGAATCAAGTTCCACGCCTGAATCTCTTAGCACGAACGTTATACACCAGTGCTTGCCAGCTGCATTCACAACGCGAGCATTCCAACAGAAATACTCTCTTAGCATCAAGTAAACTCATTTCTTCTTTTTTTGTTTTTTTTGAGACGGGCTCACTGTGTTACCCAGACTGCAGTGCAGTGGCACAATCACTGTCACTGCAGCCTTGACCTCCTGACTCAAACGATCCTCCCACCTCAGCCTCCTGAGTAGCTGGGACCACAAGCACATGCCACCAGCTGTGGATAGCTTTTTTTTGTTTTTTGGGAAAATGGGGTCTTGCTATGTTGCGCCCTCTAATCACTAACTCCTGGCCTCAAGCAGTCCTCCTGCTTCAGCCTCCCAGAATGCTGGGATTACAGGTATGAGCCACTGTACCCAGCCTGACAATACATATTCTTTAGCAAAGTTCAGATCCCTACCATAATCCTAACCTTGTCTTCTGCATGCAGCTTTCATCTCTGAACAAGGCGGATATTCACTTTCCCTTGACTCCAAGTTTAACTACAAAGTAAATTGATCTCATTGTTATCTTGGGCACCATGCTAGAATAAGCAAAACAAATACAACAAGACAACAACAACAACAAAAATGTAGCCTGTGAGGTTAGAAGCAAGATGGAATTGGTCATGTTCAATTTCTCTCATTATTTATAATTCTGTAAAGGTGGTTTCATCCATCTTTCCCAAACAGCCACTTCATATTCCACTCTAGCTGGAATGTATTTCTCCTGGGCTATGGTTTAAAGTGTCACTGTAAAGGGTGACCTAAGGAGCCACTCCTTTTGGGCAGAATTCCTTCTCTACCTGGCCACCATTTTCCATATTCCTTGCACAGGTAATACTTGAAAATATTCAGCCATAACTTAAAATTTTCATATGGGTTGCATACAAGAAGACAATCTTGAAATCCGTGTTTCTAAAGTAGTTGCTTCAGCTTTGACATTATGAAGAAAAAGAAATGCCCATGCGGGTAAAATGGATGGTTTGCCCACATGAGAAAATGTCTTATATACGTTGATGTATTTTTAAGAAAATCTTTGAAAAGCTATTTTTATCTCAACTATCATCGTCTACTTTGAACAGAACCTGACTTAAGAAAAGGTTGGCTGGGTGCAGTGGCTCGTGCCTGTAATCCCAGAACTTTGGGAGGCTGATATAAGATTGCTTGAGCCTAGGAGTTCAAAACCAATCTTGGAACATAGTGAGTCCTGGTCTCTAATAATTTTTTTTTTTAAATAAAAATGTTGCTCTTACTATTTTATGTCATAAGTATCAAATCTTTTCTAATCTCTTTGGACTCCTAATCTCTCATCCATTCTGAAGATGTGCATGTCAGCATGCATCTAATTTTAAATAGCAATACATTTCTTACGTTGCACATATATTACATGCCCTAAATCAAGAGAAGTCGGTGGAGAGGTACAGAAATACCATTGGATAGAAGGGATAAGTTCTAGTATTTGATAGTACAGTTGGGAAATTATAGTGAACAATGATTTTCCAGCCTATGACACAGTGAGACCCTGTCTCAAAAATTAAAATGAAAACAAAACAAAATAATGATTTATGTTTCAAAATAGCTAGAAAAGAATTGTAATGCTCCAAACACCAAGAAAGTATGAATGTTTGAGGTGATGGATACCCCAGATTCCCTGACTGGATCATGACACATTGTATGCGTGTTTCAAAAGATTACGTATATCCCCAAAATTTGTACACAGCCAGGCATGGTGGTGCACACCTGTAGCCCCAGCTACCATGAGGCTGAGGCAGGAGGATCGCTTAAGACTAAAAGGTTGAGGCTGCAGTGAGCTATGATTGTACCACTGCACTTTAGCCTGGGCAAAAGAGTGAGGCCCTTTCTCATGAAAAAAATGTGCAATGATGATACATGAATTTTAAAAAATGAGATGGGATTTTTTCCCTTGACCCCCTTCATGGGCAGGAACTGGAGTGGCTCATTTCACTCAGCCTGCAGTCCATGGATGACTAAGTGTTAACAGCCCAGCAAAGGGTCAGGGTCACAGCCTTCTGCACCTGCCCTTTTTGACACCTGAGTTCTTGTTTGGCATCCAGGTGCTCACAGGAATGGATTGAAGGGTAGTGTATGCAGAGGATTTTACTGGGCGATGGATGTGGCTCTCAGATGGATGTGCTCTCAGCAGAATGGGAGTTGGAAAGGGGATGGTGTGGGAAGAAGGTGATCTTTCTCTGAAGCCCAGTCATCTCTGGCTGGGCTCCCATCTGAAGCTGCACCATCTGAAGTCAGCTTCTATTTGTAGTCTCCGACGCTCAGCCACTTGTATACCTAACGCTTAGCAGCTTGTATCCCTGACTGCTTGCATCAGCTGCTTGTGTTGCTCTGCCAGCGGAAGTCTGGTTTTCATGGGCACAGGATTAGGGGTCAGGGTAGGCCAAAAGGGCAATCACTTGGGTTGAAAAATGGGTTCAGCTGTTTTCACTTAGGACCAAGTTTCCAGGCTTGAGGGTGGAGTTTAGCCAGGAGCCCAGGTGTTCTGTATCATCTCCCCCCTCTGGAGAGGCACATCTAACTGCCGTTAGGAAATGGATGACAACCAGTCTTAGCTACTTCCTGCTGAAAGAGGGCGCTGTTTGGGGAAAACGGCAGTCAGATTCCTCGCAGAGGTCTACCAATGGGTCCCCAGCAAAGGCAAAGCATCATCTGAGGCTCCGGCTGCCTGCCCATTTGGAGTCTTGATGGCCTCTAGGTGAAAGAAGAAATAAGCTTTACAAGGTTAAGTAGGCATGGGTCAAACATGTGTATTATACAAAGAAAGAATCTAGTGCCAAACATCTCAGAAACAAGAAGTAAAACTTGCTAACAGCATTGTACCCCAAGCTGCCTCACCCTGGTGAAAGAAAGTAAACCTCGTATGGGTGCAGTTAAACTTTATGAGACAGTAAGTTCTCTTGCCACATCTGTAGGAGTTAACAGGTGAACCTTAGAAATTCTGAGGTTTATGGGCGTGCACGGTGGGCAATAAAGCTTCTGCCTCTTTCTTGTGTTTAAAAGACCAAGGTGGTCGTTCTCAGGATGTCCTCTAAAGTACTATCTGGTCCCAGGGTCTGTTTCTGAGTATAAACGGGAGGTGGAAAAGTGTGTTGGTTGCCCAGTCTGAAAGACAGGGAATTAGGCATCCCTCAATTCCCTTTCTTCTTCCAGTGATAACTTGGGGTATGAGGCAGAGAGGAAGTGGGCATCCCCCTTTCCTCTTTTATCTTTTCATCCCCAAGTCCCAGCAACCTTGACAGGTGCCACCCATGGGTGCCAATGTGGCTTGCACCCATGAAGCAGGGAGAGCCTAGAGAATAGGAATTATTTGCACTCACCTATGCCTCTACCTCCCTTACTGTTGACAACCTTTGAGTTTCCTGGGCCTCATTCATGCCCTAGAGTATGGCCTCCTTCTGTAAAGTGGGGGTTTAATTGACAGGAATTGGTCCTACCTATTTACACTGTGCCTGTTGCCTGGCTCAGATCTGGTTTTCCTTTCTAGGGCCTCGACCTGGAGCTTAGAATCGAGTTGGAGACCAAAAAAAAAAAAAAAAAAGTATTTCAGGGGCTGCAGAGATTTATTTAGGTTAAGTCCCAAACAGGCCTTGCCAAATTTACAGCTAACAGCCCACAGAGGATGCCCCTCTGTCGTTTCC